CATCAGAAAACTAAGATTAGCAACAGAAATGACAGATATAACAAAAAAAAAACAGAATTCAAAGTCTCTGTAGTTCTGCCGTATAAAGAAGAAACATCAGGGACCTTAACTACGATTCTCAATGACGCGGCAACTAGGGTGGTATTTAAACCAACCAACCAACCATCTCTCTTAGAGATAAAAATTTGTCGGTTTAAGGACCCAATAGATACAATTGAAAAAAAAATAACATAATTTACCAAATTCCAAAGAATGACTGAAACTGAGGTCAACTACATAGGTCAAACTAGTAGATCAAGGTCAACTAGATAATCGGAGCATAGAAATTTAACTAGACCTAAAATAATTGATAAGTTAGATAGCTCGGCGATTGCGTTGCATTCATTCGCATGTTAATCTCGAAAGAGGATGAGAAAAGGTGAGTGAATTAAAAAGTAATACAGTTAGGTGGAGAGAGAGAGAGAGAGAGACTAATCACTGAATTCTTGTTTATCGATTCAACATCCCACACGTGCTATCGAAGTGGCTTCACGCCTATACCGGAAATATGGAGAGTGGCAGTACACAACAACGGGGGGGAGAGGGAAACAGTGAAACAGAGAGGAAAAAAGAAACACAAAACAAGACACTTTGTGAAGTCGTGTGACTACATTGAAATCATTATGAGAAATAAATTCTGCTTGAAACTCCATCCACTTGTTAATACTGCATCACTTTGTGATATTCTGGAATAAACTTATCTGAGATGGAATTACATTCTACACCACTACAGTGCTCAAGTTCTACACTTACATTAGTTTATAAATAATATCAGTTCCTGAAGGCAACCGTAGTGAAATCTTACTTCAAACTGTGTAAATTGAAATTTTATTTACACATTATAGATTTGATTTACACTCTATTCTGTTGTTTGCCTTCTTTCTCAAACGGATAAGTATGTACCGATATATGTGTAAAACTCGGGCACTGTAGTTGTAAATAATTTTATATTAGTTTGCTTTATATATATATATATATCTCACACACTGAAACAGTATTATTTATTGGATGACAAGGTTTCGAGCACAATTCATCACTGTTCATAATCATATCAATTAATTATAATCACACGACTTCGAAACGTGAGTTTTATAGTTTTCTTTGTCTTCTCCTATTTGTTGTCGTCATTGGGGTAGTAGAATTTTCCAGATATCTGAGACAGGTGTTAAGTCATTCCTATTACACGTGTTTGCATTTGATTCGATAAACAAAGCTTCTGTTATCAATCTCTCCCTCTACCCTGTAGCATTACATTTTAAAACTGTCATCCTATACCATCCATCCTATTGTATGGTTGTGTGTGATTGCATGTAATGCTATGGCTGAACTATTCTCTAGATTTCTTATCTTATTTGAGTCAACCAATCTAGATTTTGTCAGGTTTTTATGTTCGGCTGGTCTGACTGCCCCCCTGTTCTACTAGGTTGACTTACGTATTTGACCTTACAATCATTGCAGGATATTAGATAAACCAAATTTTGTTTAATTTGATCCACTGGCAGGATCCTGTAGCCGACAAAGCTTGTTTCGAATTGAGTTTGTGGGTGGTTTGAATGCCAGTCATTTTAATTCCTGCCTTGTTAAGAATTGCGCGTAAGGTTTCTGAGATTTCCTCTTTGTATGGAATTACTACTGATGATTTAGATTCCTTATCGTTGGAAACTATGTACCACAAATAATGGAGAATAAGTATTATTGTTTAGAATATGAATTTTTGTAGGAATGTGAATTAATTTGGATTAATCTCAGTGTGTATTTCGGCACGAACACACATTAGTTATACCGGGACCTTCAGGTTATACGACCCAGCTTGTTAACCATTCCAGCTACTTGGGCTAGAATTGAATGACCTGTTAGGAAATCTACACTGGAATTAATCAAAATCTCAAAGAAAACCCTTAATCTAAATATTAGTCTCAGGCTCACTGATAGCTGCTGTATTGATGCCCAGATGCTGTACTGAGAAGTCATAACTAGTATGGTACCACCTTTGTCGAGGTGAAGTGGATGTTCATCGAAAGCTTCGGTGAGGTTAACGCTACACCACCGGTAGTTGAGATTTCGTTACAATTAGTTGAATGGCCAAACACCTTGATCTCGTTACCTGAAGTCCCCGGCTTCAATCCCTGATGGAGTCGTAGGTGCGCACTGCTGACAACTCTCAAACTAGAATAAAACAGCTGCCCAGTGCCCCCTCGTAGTTTTAATCCAAATGACTATCCTTTCATCAGTGGGGACATCATTCATGCAACCAGTACCAACGTTTACAAATGGCACACAGCTTTTTCTATGCAGCAATAAATAATAGAACGTAGTGAAACCAAGGGATTACTTGCTAGGTGCTTGTAAAAGCAAAAGGAAGTACATCGACTAAAACACCTAACCTATGCAAAATATCAAAGGATTCTGTGGTTGATCTTGCACTGCCAAGGGTGATTCATTGTTTCTCTACGATTATTTTATCTTATTGTTTAGCAGTATAGTATTTTTGAGAATTGTTCATTTTCAAGTTTCCTTCGATTTATGTTCTCTTCATTATTATTTCATTGTGATTCTTTAGCATTTCATGCCTCTTCCTACTTATCACAATACTACGACTAGTTTATATTCATTTGGATTCCAAAGGATTACCTAACAGCCCACTACGCAATGCTTATTTTTGCTTTTATTGAAAGGAGATAAATCGGTTGACTGGCTTCTCGAAGGCTTCCCCCCCCCCAGACAGCGCCATTTCACCCCTCCGACACCAAAGAAGAATCCTCTTGTGTTTTGAAGTTCCTGTAGTGTTTGGATTGATTTTCCGGGGTGGAGTAAACTAGCCTTATGCCCAATTTCGGGCTTAGGGACCAGCTAAAAAAAATTAACGAACTCGTAAACTAGGCATTTGCAACAGGTTGCAGATCTTTATCAACAGTGGCCTTCCTTAGCTTTATATTGAAAATCAAATCGTCGGCCAGAAACACAATTGGCAACAAGGAACTCCGCGGATAGACTAATCAACAACCTATTGCCAAACAGATATGTAGAAGATAGGTTGGACACATGCCGAGTAGGCTGTAAACTGACATCACATGTCAGACCATAGTTCGAGTGAAACCTGAATGGAAAACGACCTAGTTGGGTATCCAAGAATGACATGGATAAGGGGTTGTGGGAGGAGGAGATGAGACGCTATGAGAAATTGTGGAGCCAGTTCTAGACAACTGTAGAGAATGGGACAGGGTGGAGATGTGCTGTTGAGGCCCTATATTCCACTCGGAACCTAAGGGAAAAATAACAATCAATAGAAAAGACTAACAGCCCCAAATCTCTTGTCCAAGGCTTATATTATACGTCGGGTTGCTTTCGTCTTCTAGGGTTAGCTGACTGATTATGATAACGGTTCACCATCCATCAAGTGTATTTCATTTGTTTGCTTATATAGTGAACTTTATTACACTGATATGCATCACAGCCACAGAAAGGACTTATCGTTGTAGTGATTTTACTACGGAAGTAATTTAAGCAACTTTTAATTGATGACAACTAGTGTCATGTCAGTCAGACACTTTTCACGGCACCAAAAATATTTCTGACAGACGACATAGACTTTTATAAACACAGCTGCCATCACAACTGGCTCGATACTGAAGATCCAGTTAGATGACCGGTTGCAAAGTACAACCAAGCAACAAGGAAGCATGGCAACGAACCAACGTACACAAATATGCAGTAGGAAATAGAGATGAATTGGATATATACGCTGAGTAGACCAGTGAGTCAAATCATACATTAATCAGGCGCCCTCGAGTAGAACCCAAATAGAAAACCATTGACGAGTTGTGAGTATGTGAGGGAGTGAATGCTAATAGGTATTTGTAGAGTCACTCAGCAAAAATACGGCAGAGAACAGAATGGGATGTCGATGTGCTGTTAAATTTCTCTTTTCCACTCAAAACCTAAGGGGATAATAATGATAATAAAACCTGACGTTTTGACACCTTAAACTAATTTGTCCAACAACAACATATGCAGAAGTTTTAGACCGTACTATTTAGATAAAATTTCATTTAATCTACACTGAAAATGTAATTCACTGGTCGGTACAAGACAGAAATGTGAACCGGTGGAATTTTTGTGAAAGACTAAATGTTACATCAAACAAGTTTGTGTACTTAATGAGGTAGTTTCCTACTAGCGGACCAGTGCTCCAATGCATAAACTGCCAAGTTCCAGTGTCAGTAACGATAGACGTACACCCCATCTCGCTGTATGTTTCAAGTGAAACATGCGACAATAACCTTCGAAGTTTCAGTAGCGCCGGTGTTGTTAGACTTACGCCTAATCTCCTCTCTTTTTCAGGCTTAAAAACGGTTAGGTGAAGTTCAGGAGTGCGCAACCAGCCACGACTTGATCCCCAAAAAAATACGATGAGATCTCGGCCAGTCTACATTCCACCGTACTGTCAGTTACCATCAGTCAACAATGTAGATAAAAAACTGGTTACAGGTTTGATTACGCATTGACACTGACATATGTTACAGAACCATTCAAAAACTTGAGAGTACCAGTCCACCCAGTGGGGTAAGACATCAGTTACTCACATCGATGACAGTGTTTGCCAGTTGCACTATATATATATATATATATATATATCGCGAATTCACAGGAGTTGGAAATTATGGGTTACTGGTGGGTCCGTTGGTTCTCAGCAGTTGAATGATCTATGAGGTCATCCTGTAACTGTAAGGTCTTCATTTCAAACTCCAGTAGTGGGTGCGTACTGGCCAATGAGTCCCAAACTAGGCGGACCAAAAAGGCTGTTCAGTACTTCTGTGGCTGATTTTCTAATGGTTTTCTCTTCAACTGTTTAGCAAACCTGTAAAAAATATCAAATCCCTGCAGCAAAGAAGGGAATATGACGCTTATAAAATGACTGAAAAAGTTTTGTGAGAATATATATATATATATATACAACTTACCTTAATTAACAAGGGAGTAGGTTTAAATCGTGGACTTAGTTGTGTTACAACTTCAGACATCAGCTGATGATGTTTCATTACTTTTCTAGTCTTCATAATGCGTACTATACAGGCCTAGATTTTCAGAAAAATATCAAAAAAAAGAAAAAGAAAAAAATAACAGAACAATTTAGTAGAATACAGCAAAAAAGGAGACAGTTGTAAAAATTATGATTCTTTTTTTTTGTTGTTGTAATGACAAAATAGACTTGATGATAGTGAACACGTTATGTTGCTAAGTCACATGCATCAAAAGAGATAGAGAGAAGGCTTATTTATCATTACCACTAGTGATGAACTAGTATTTGGACACACTTATATGCTAGAGTATGTGTACTTGATAAATAGCCTAGCAACACAAAATGCCGTTTACCTTCCGTCTAGACAAAGTTATACATAAGAAAAACAAAAATAAAACATCACTAGTGTCAGCCAGTCAGTCAGTCAACACAGTCTGCATAAGATAAAGAAATGTAACCATCAGACTATATCAATTTATTGAAGTGAAATTTAAGCGGTAAGACAAGACGACAGTGGAAGGCAGTGAAGTCAAATGAAATGAGAATAAACCTAATCTCACTTCAAGGCGAAGTAAAAGTATCATTCATGAGACATTGAATTGGGTCCCAGTGACTGAATGGCATACGAGTCAGCTTTCCTTGTAACCGGAAGGTCCTGGGCCCGAACCCTGGTGGTTGGTGAGTGCTGATGATGATTCCCAAACTAGGCTAATGAAACAGCTGGCTGTCCAGTACTCCCTGGTTCTGGTTTTCAGTGGTTCTCTAACTGATATCAATCCGTTGTCAAACTCGTAAAAACAAAATTAACCCTTACAACAAACCAACTATAGAAAAAATAGCATAGCCAAAGTCATGCTTTTTCAAAAATTGACCTTCAAGAGCCAATTAGATATATACAGGGAATGTTATGAAATGTCATTCCAAATCAAGTCGTTTCCACCCTTTTGAACTTGAAGAAGGTAGGATACGGTATTCTACTTATTTACTAAGTACTTTTCCTGCAAATCTAAACTTTCAGGAAGGGTTGTCGCTTTTTAGTTGTTGTTTTTTTCCTTCACGTTCCCAGTGGAACATAGGGCTTCAAGCTAGTGGCTTGAAGTTTCTGTAGCAGTGTTTATTTTTTTACAGGATGGGGTTGCCAGCCTCATGTCCAACCTTTCCTCTTTACCAGCATTATTTCTGGCTTAGCAAGGTAAAGGAGTGCGTCGGTGGCTGGGGATCGAACCCCGGACCATGTGCATAGTCGGCGAGCGTCCTAACCACTGTGCCACCGAGGCACAGGTTTAGAATCTAGGAATATGGTTAGAGTTATGAGAATGTTGAAGAATAGTGTCAGAAATATCAATAGATCTGAAAGTGCAATGACCTACAATCATCTGGATGAGTGCATACATCGAGCATAGTACGATTACTCCCAGGAGCATCTCTGTGTGGTGACATCACATGAGCTACAAATATACTGTGGTGAGTGCTACTCATAATCAGATAAAAGTATTATATCAGTAAAAGGAGTTCAGAAAAGTAACAATACGTTTCCGAAACTGGAAAAGCAATCGAAGAACAGAACTGTGTAAAACTCAACAAGGTATCGAATGTGGTGACATTCGACCAATTTCCAAAAGATGTGCTTAAATAAAGCGCCTTGGAGATATGGTATACCAAAGGTATGTACCTACACAATCAGGATTTCCTAATAAACATTCCTTCGAGCCTCATCGGTTTTTTCTTCTTTACAATGCCATGTTCGCCATATGTATTTTAGTGTAATTTTCAGCGATTAAGCGACTTTATTGCGTCTGAATTCTGATTGGTCGATTCAAGGTCACTGAGATTTTGCCTATTATCGTTTAATTTTGCCCACTTTAAATTAAAACTTAATCTATCCAAATGAAGAAGCTCATCACACTTTACGGTTGTGAACGAAATATTCATATATTGAGTCCTGAGGAAAAAAACGTAAACAGAGAGGAAAATTCAATTGTTGGTTTGTAGGGATTTGATTGGTTACAGGATTTCATCATGAGCTGACATCAGTTAGAGAACCATTGGAAAACCTGGGAGTAATGGACAGCTGTCTTGTCCTAGTTTGAGGACCTTCAGCAGTATGCACCCACCGGGATTCAAACCCAGGACCTACTAATTTCAAGGCGAGCTCGTATACCATTAAGCCACTGGGACCCGATCCAATTGCCCATGAATCCTAACTTCTGTTCTCTTGCCCTATCGTGGTCACAGTAACATTCTCGCTATAATTTTGCTTCCTTTTATTATGTAAGTTTATTATTATTATTATTCTCATCATCCTGATTTTATTCTCATTCTACTGCTGTTTTTTTAATAACACTGCGTTTTCATACAGATTGTATAAAAACACTTTATTGTTTTTCCACTAGTTTCATCCACTCGCTACACAACTATATTGATTAGTCATTTTCTCATACTTGTTACGTCATACCAACTTATTCCTTTTCTAATTTCCAACTAGTCATCCTGTCTAGACTATAACTTACATAAGGCAACACGTTTTCGAGGATAAATTTTACCAGTATCTGATTGGTCTTATAAATCCTTTATTAAATATAATTACGATTGTACAGCAGCTCATGAAAATGAATCGTCGAAACGAAAATTACCTTTTACCATTGATTGTGTTACAACAAAAAACAACAACAACAACCAAATAGTATACTGGGTTAAGTAAAAAGTATGAATCAATTCAATGAATGTATAAATAATGAACGACGTGGTGCAACCGACGGTGGGTAGACGTCAGTCTCCCTCTTGAAATCCTCTAATGTGGCCAGGCATTTACAGTTTCTGCCAGATACGTTATACTTACTGCATCCATATAGCTGGGGGATTCGTCACACAAAACTGAAAAGACGAGTTCGGAGGTCCCTCGAGCTTGTAACTACCACCAAACGGGTGAACATGTATGTCTACGATGACCTAGGCAAATTCGAAAACCCTGATTTCAAACCTATGGTAGTGTACATGGGCTTTAAAACCTGAAAGGAGAGAATGCAGTTTGAACTAGTTTCAATCAGCGGAAAACATGGAAACGGTACCTTCCTAGCGTCGATGCCCCACTGCCGTCTGGATCAGACTTCAAGTCAGAGTTCCGACAGAGGGTGACCCCCTTTAGATAAGCAATTGCTTTCATCTGGGGATCCGAGTAGTACCCCAACCCTCACACAAACAATGGAAACTCAAGAGTACAGGACAGCTGTCTCAGAAGTACTCATCCATAACTTCATCAGGGGGATAAAATCTAATAACCTACAAGTCACTACTAGGCGAGCAGCTAGTAGACTGTTAGTTCAACCACCAGAACGAAATCCGTTGACCAACTAAAGTATGTAGCTTGTAATTATCAATCGAATTCTCGCATATTAGCAATTGAAAACAACAACAACAACAAAGTACATAAAAGTACATCAACTAACCTGAACAATTAACTTTCGATCAGATTCAACATTGCCCAGAGTTTGTTCAATCTCTTGTTTTGTTTCACTTTTCAGTGGAACATTCAAATAAACTCGAACACGTTTACTAAAACAAAAAAAAATTTAATTTATTAAAATGTCAAATTATTTCTAAACAAAAGGAAGAGAGAAACCAAAAACAAAACAAGAAATAATGATAATAATTAATAATGTTATGCTTCTGTGTCAATTTATTTCGCTGACATGCTGATAGAGATTAATTACTCGGTACACGGTTAAGTTTTACGTTTATTTTGCTACAGCTGTTGTAGGTGGAGCAGCACTCGAAACTTGGACGGACTGGTTGAAAAGCTGGTGCATTGTGCTAACATCTAAGAACTCTCCTACATACTTGACATCGAAACTATGGGGGATCCTTTGGAGCATTTTAAAAATTCCATGCCGTACACTCAAAGTCACAGTCTTCGTCTTTTGGAGAAAGAATTCTCGACTACGAGTGTATGGACTGTGCAATAAATAGCATGCACATTGCCCGAATAACATTTATTCAGTTGACGATTAGTGTCTGTAAGTACGTTATGTGCTTTGTGCCATCTAAGTACAAAGGACTGTTAACTGTACTCTGGATTCACCCTTTCAGGTGAACCGCTTGAAGTTGTCGGCAACTTCATGTATCCAAGTAGTTGTGTGAGTGATGAAGGAGGTGTGATGGACGAGGTCTCTATCAGTATAGTGGAAGCTAGAGTGGCATACGCGAATTCGAGCCACCTTTGGCGCCGTCGTGACGTCAGTCTGACTGTCAAATGTAGGGCTTACAATGTTGTGGTGTGCGAAGTCATGTTGTACACCTGTAAAACCTGGCCCCTTCGAGCCACTGATGTCCGGTGACTCTAAGCATCTGATCATCGTTGCTTGTGTCCGGCGGTATCATCATATGAGTAATTCCGAGGTCTGGCAGTGTGTGTTGGAGATTACCCTTCGTTGAGTATCATCGTCTGAAAAAAAGCCTCAGTGGCTCGACTGTCATCCCTGAGGTCTCCGTACCGATCTATGTTCGCTAGCCCTGGGACTAGATGAAAAAACCGGAGAAACGGTCTGTCTATGGTGTGGCATCGTGGAATGAAGAATATTTGTTTCAGATTGGAATCCTTGGTTTGGGTTCGAAATATAGTTTGAATCCGTGGTATGAAACGCTACTACATATAGCCGAAAATCGCAATCAACAGCTAACGTGCTGCAATTACTCAGCAGCACTACATAAAAACAGCCTAAAATGTTGTTAATTTAAAATTTAAGAAAAGAAGCAGTTCTTCAAAACAAACTTGAAGCAAAAAACCAGAGTAATAACATTATTTTAAGAGAAACACAACTGCCAGTCTATCACTCAGAAATCAATTAACTGACAAATCAACAGGCTCCATTCAGGCCTCTGATGTTTCGGAATAACAGCCGAAGGTAGGCTGAAGTAGACAGAGAGATATTCGAAACCCAGGACCTACTGGATGGAAACTAAGCCTGCCCACATTTCAATTGTGCATTTAAGCCCCAGAGGCAAGTAATACAACATGACCAACAGTCACTGTCATCTAAGTACAACTTCTAACTTCTAAATCCACTTGAATTTGAAATTTAAGTAATGCAGGAGACAATAATGATGAGTAATACTATTAGGGAATACATGATAATACAATGTGAAACATACGCTAACCGTTAAGTTACCTTGAAAAATCGATGAAAATACGTCAATTAATTGCTGTTAAATAATGCTGATACTTTTCATTTTACAGTTTTTTACATATATTTCTCAGTAAGTTAACCCCTCAAGTACTGAGACTTCTTTTTAACTGTAGTCATGGGACACAGATCTTTTTGAGATTGCTGCAATATGTGATGGATACAACCTGCTGGATAAATTCTCAGATTGAAAGTCCTCTTGTATTATAATTATTATATTACTATTTCCTTTAATTCCCAGAGGCATATAGGGCTTCAGCCTAACGTCTCAATTGCGTTCAGTTCTCTGCTAGAGTTTTCACCTGGCTTCAAGTCTGCCCATATGCTTTCATCTCTTCTTCACATAACTTCCTCCAAGTCACCATTGGATGACCAACTCACCGCTTCCCTTTCGGGTTCCACTCCAATGCTTGTCTAGTGATGTCACTTGGTGGTTTTTTCGGAGTATGGCGTATACACCTCCATTTCTTCCTGCTTACATGTTGCACAATCGTTTCCTGGTTGGTTCGCTCATTGCCAGAGATCCCTCACCATTGCTGATCTCTTCTGGTCAGCCATGTGATCTTGAGTATTGAGCGAAGACAACTGTTGATGAAGGTTTGTAGTTTATTTAAAGTGCTCTTTGTGACGCGCCAAGTCTCTGATCCGTGTGGTGAGTAGCACTGACTTAACATTGGAGTTGAAAATCCGGATCTTATTTTCGCTCTCATGTTGAGTGTTGTTGACCTCCACACAGACTTGAGAGTAATGAAAGCTTGTCTTGCTATTCCGATTCTGGCTTTGATGTCCTCGTCAGTTCCATCCGTCTGTAGTTGAAACGATGCCTCCAGGTATAGGGTAGGTAAATCGGTTTGTTCCTTTCAGGTTCCTCCCATTTATGCTGGCTGACTGTCGTGTGTTTTTGTTGTTGCTGTTGGTGGTGTTGGCTAGGAATCTTCATCACCTCTGTTTTCTCAATGTTCACCTGAAGTCTTATCTTCTCTGGATGCTTCGTCTATCGCCAGCTTGTTGCTTTTCACTTGCATATCTTTCAGTTTGTGGGAAATCAGACATATATCATCGCGGGCGAAGTCCAGATCCTTCAAGTATTTTGTGTGAGTCCATTTTATGCCTGTTTCCTCACTGGCCGTTGTCTGTTGCATTATCCAGTCTACCGCAATCAGGAAAATCGTTGAAGAAAGTAGGTAGCCTTGTCTTCCTCCCGTCTTCACTTCCAAGGATTCTGTGAGTTTCTCGTTGTGGATTACTTGGCATGCAGCACTGTCGTACAACCGCTGGATGAGAGAAAGTCTTCTTCATACCCTGTTAATTAACTGTATTTTGAATATGTTTAGTACGCATTGAAGTCTATGTAGGAGTTTGATTAATTTTCCATGGTAGGGTCACTAGCCCACGCCCAAACCTCCCTCTTTTCCCAATCTTGGGACCGGCTAAAAAAAAACCAGCAAGTTGGTAAACTACACGAGGTTTTTTCCCGACCGAAAGCTGCTACCTTGACGTGGTGGTCGGGCTTGAACACCGCAATGACCTAATCAAGCTATACTGGCTGAGACTTATGTCTCTTGAGGTTCTACCATGCCAGGCAGGTTGTTTGGATAGCGGTTAAACAAAAAGCAGCTACCCAATCCAACATCATGTCCAATACAAAATTACAAAATTTCATGCCGGATCGGCCGTGGCCCGGATTAACAACGACCGCGCTTCCTGCTGCCGTGTCACAGGGCGGGAGTGATAAATCTGCTACTGAGACACACCAAACAAAAAAGAACGAACAAAAACAGGCCGCGTGTGACCGGCCTCAAGCAGTTGTCCCCTGGGCTCTGCGGTCACGCAACCAACTTCCACGGTGTGGGCAGCCGGGAAGTAACAATCGCCCTCACAATCCGAAATGCACACGAAACCTCTCTATTACTCACTCATCTTTGTCTTCATCATCATCTCTATCATCTTGCCTTCCTTCCACTGATGCAACTCCTCGACTTGATAGCTCTCCACTTCCTCTCCACTCTGCGTCCACTAAAAACGATGGAAGCCAAAAAACCACCACCGACAGCCTCTTAAAGCCGCGCCACCAATTTCATATAGGAGCTCTTAATGTTAGGACACTTTGCCAAATAGGACAACAAGCATCACTAGCCAAGACCCTGGCATCACGAGCCATTGATGTATGCTGTGTTTCAGAAACACGCATACAAGACCCAAGTGTGGTTATTCACCTAACCCCACCTGGCCAACAGGTTGAATCTGCAAAATTCACCTTGAGGGTGTCAGGAGATGCCACAGCTAGTTCACGAGGATTAGCTGGCGTAGGGATAGCTTTGAGTACTAGGGCAGAAAAGACATTGCTTGACTGGATCCCGGTAGATAGCCGAATGTGTGCTGTCCGCCTGAACGGATCAGTAAGAAGGAGGAAGGACTGCACTACTCGCCGATGCCTTTTCGTAATCTCCGCCTACGCCCCCACTGACTGCAGTTCAGATGAAACGAAGGATGAGTTCTACCAAAAGCTGTCTAGTTTGGTGGAAAGGCTAAACGCTCAGACATAGTCGTTCTAGCTGGTGACTTTAACGCTCAAGTAGGGAAATTGTGTCAATCTGAGAAGGATGTCGGTGGCACCTATGGAGCTCCGTGCCAGCGAACCGACAACGGTGACCGTCTCCTACAGTTCTGCTCTGATAATCATTTGTTTCTTGTAAGCACTAACTTTAAACACAAGGAGAGACACTGTTTGACTTGGAGACCCCCTTCATCAAACCAACGCTGGACACAAATAGACCACATAGCAATAAGCTATCGTTGGCGTGGGTCGGTAGGAGATTGTCGCTCCTTCTGGAACACGTGCGTAGATACCGACCATGCACTGGTCCGCGCTCGGGTGTGCTTACGACTGAACGGACGTAGGAAACAGCTGGCGGTAAAACCATCACGTCCCCAGCTCGATCAGGAAACTAAATCCGTATTTGAGGAAGAACTAGCTAAACACATATCTGTGTTCGACAGCTGTGCTCACCCTGAAGAAGCTTGGAAAAATATCCAGGCAGCCATAGATACAGCTGTAAAAGCTGTGAATAAGGTAAACCCAAAGGTGAGTAAAAACCACTGGATCTCCACCGCCTCATCCGAACTGATAGATGCTAGAAGACTTATTCCGGCGAGCTCCGAATTCAATGAGGAGCGAAAGCTGCACAAGAGGAAACTTACGAAAAGTCTCCGCAAGGACCGTGAACAGTGGTGGGCGACAAAAGCCAAAGAGATGGAGAAAGCTTTGAGGATAGGCAACACCAGGCAACTCTTTGGACTCATCAGGGAAACGGGTGGGAGAAGACAAATCATTAGTGAGACAATCTCGGAAAAAAATGGCACTATAATTAGCTCACAGGATAGACGACTGGATCGTTGGAAAGAGCATTATGAGGAGCAGTTTAATTTGCCCACAGCCACGCTCAACCTTCCGAGCATCCAACACCTCCCTGAATGGGATATAGACACAGGTCCTCCGTCACTAACTGAGGTTACTAAAGCTGTCACCAATCTGAAACTAGGCAAAGCAGCGGGACCTGATGGAATGACTCCAGAGGTATTTAAGTACGGTGGAGACAGCTTACTGTCCGGATTAACTGAGGTACTAGGCAGCGTCTGGGAATCAGAAGAAGTCCCATCGGGTTGGTGTAAGTCACTGATTATCCCCATATACAAGAAGGGAGACAAGTCTTCCTGTGATAATCACAGAGGGATTAGCTTGACTAATATAGTATCTAAAGTCTTAGGCTCAATAATCATGCGTAGACTGAGTGGTGCTCGGGAAGCACAAACACGAGAGAGCCAGGCAGGCTTTAGACCAGGAAGAGGGTGTATTGATCATATCTTCACCCTCCGACAGATTCTAGAACATAGGCATTCCTACCGGCGTCCAACAGTCATTATATTTCTTGACCTAAAGGCAGCATTCGACTCTGTCGATCGGGAAGTTCTCTGGAGATGCTTGGCTGTAAAGGGAATTCCAAGAAAATATATTGCACTGATTAAGGCACTCTACTCGTACTCATACAGCCAGGTGAGGGCTTACGGCGAGCTGTCATCTGAACTGATGACGACCAGTGGTGTCCGTCAAGGATGCCCATTATCTCCTTTTCTATTCAACTTCATCATAGATGTGTTAATGGACTTAACCCTAGGTGACTTCAGCGACTCAGGGATTGACTTGCTACCGGGGAATAATCTCGTTGACTTGGAATATGCAGACGATATAGTCCTTCTAGGCGAAGACGCTGACGAAATGCAGAGTCTTCTAAACACCTTGAGCCGCAATCTACGAATGTTTGGCATGCGATTCGCTCCCGCCAAATGCAAGATGATGTTACAGGACTGGACTACATCGACGCCTAGTTTAAAAATAGGAAGTGAAGTGGTAGAGCACGTTGACCGCTTCACTTATTTGGGAAGTACCATCAGCCCCAACGGGCTGATCTCTGACGAAATCTCAGCACGAATACAAGGGGCTCGTTTCGCATTTGTTAGTTTACGCCGACTCTGGCGTAGACGAGATGTTCGACTATCGACCAAAGGGCGGGTGTACTGCTCATCAGTCCGCTCCGTCCTCCTTTATGGTTGTGAGACCTGGCCACTGAGAGTGGAAGACATGAAAAGACTAGCTGTCTTTGATCATAGGTGCCTGCGTTCTATTTCCCGTGTAAAGTGGCATAATAAGGTGAGCAACATGGAGGTTAGGCGTAGAGTTCTAGGTAAACAGGGGAAATCAATCGACGAAGTCGTGAAGCTACAAAGACTGAGATGGTTAGGACATGTGTTACGTATGCCAAGCCATCGCCTCCCTCGACGAGCAATGTTAGCGGATATAGGGTCAGGCTGGAAAAAAGCTAGCGGCGGTCAAACAAAAACTTGGCATCAGTCAATGAAATCCACAACAGTTGGTCTAAGCCACGTAGGAAGGTGTAGACTTCCAGGCTGGGGTCCTCGGGACGGTAAAAATCTATGGTTGGAAACAATTGGTGACATGGCTCAAAATCGTTCTCAGTGGCGCAGATGCATCCACTCCTTGTGACTTATGATCTCCAATGAAACTGTTTTGTATTTCTTTATTACTCCTTTGTCTCACACCTCTGCTCACTGTTTCTATTATGCTTTTCTTGTACTTTCTTCTCTTGCTTCGCGTGCTACACGGAATGTGGCGACTTGAACTTCCGCACATTTGTGCAAAGTTCTATGTCGAAAACAGACAGACAGACAGACGAGGTTTAACTAATTAGATAATATACATAGGGAGAAAAAAACAAAACAGAAAGACGGTTGCAGCGAAGAAGACACATCTGGGCATAGTTGAAGCCCTAGTGATACGAAAATCCAAGCTAACACTACATATCCAGAAGTCCGAATATGTGTTCTTTTTTATCTGAAAGTTCCCTCTTCATTTCATATGATTTTTTATCCTTTTATATCCCATCGACCAGAAATTGTTCTGCAATTTTCTCATCCTCTTCTTAATGTATATTTACGAATGTACAACCTAGTGTGTTGGTGACTTCGTTGAAAAGAAAATTCCCTTCACTGCAACCCTCTTTATGTCTTTTCCTAAGACCAACTAACCGAGTGACTAATTGAGTTTTCAATGCAGAAAAGCGCCACAGTTCAAGTTACTACAAGCCATACAACAGATAAAGAGGTAGAAAGGGGGAGAACAACTCAAAGAAAACGTAACGAAGAATGCCAACAACTTGATGATTCTAAATACTCCTATTGTTCGACTCAGTTTTACTCAACAACCACTTGTAGAGTTCCATGAAGTTGGCAATGAGCTACTCGTATAGTGTGTGTGTGGAGGGGGGACCGATTATACTGCCGCCCGCGAGGCTGTCCTAATGTTGATGCATTTAGGCGAGGGGGAGGGTTAGAACCCGTGCCCCAACTGTTGGAAGACGAGTGTCTAAGCCAATAAAGCTACAACTCCAAGTCGAGTACTCTCTATTAGAATAACTTGGAATAAAATTAAAACTAACTTTTTATAATCTGTATACAGCGCCAGATGTGTATCTGGTGTCAATTGAGATTCACTAGAATCATCACTTGCAGAGACTGTTGTCTGACTTGGTTCCACTTCAGAATTGCTATCCGATACAATTTTCAACACTTTGGCTTTAAGAAGAATTTGTAAGATTTGCAGTAAAGTAGCCTCTTCAATACCTGTCTGTAGTTGAATAGCTGAAACTGTGTAGACAAGAGATGCATTGTACAACATAAGGACAGACATTTGATATGTTGATACCTGTAGACAAATTTATACAAAAATCAAGGGGAGAAAAAGAAACACAAATATTATGATAGGGTAAAAGCAATAGACTTTTAAAAGTTTTAAAAGAAAAGTTGCATTTAACAATTTAAAAATCAATCATATATTAAGGCAGGACTGACTTAGCTTCCAACGTGCGCGGCAGAGAAAGAATAATTATGCACAGGACAGCGAGGATTTAACAGTCTTGGGGGAATTGCAAAGAGTGAACACATCCGCACCACTGAGGAAGATTTTGAGCTATATCATCAACAGTCGTTCCTACTGTCTAGAGGACTAACAAACATGCAGTCTACAGTACTGGATTATATTGACTCCTCATTTAAAAATAAGAAGTGAAGTGTTTGGTCGAGCGTGTTGATCAATTTCCCCTATTTGGGAAGTTGGATCAGCCAACACCAGAGGGCTGATAGCTGACGAAATCTCAGTAAGGATACAGATGGCTCGTTTGCATCTGCCTGCCAACTTACGCTATCTCTGACGTAGACGTGATATCCACCTGTCAACGTATCTTTCCTCATCCATCACATTCAGTGGCGCTTTAAGTATCCCTTTCATAAGCATAATTTACCCTCTTACCGAGTGAACCATGGTATGTACAACACATTGGAAACAAGTACAATAATAACAGCTGCTGTTGCATAAACACAAGCAACATTTTGACTTTGACACTATTAACTAGTGTGATGTGTCTAGTCTTTTGTTTGGTGCAGACTGAATTCTATCAGTCAGGTTGTAATGTGACCACCAATCTAGATAGCTCGCCAGCACGGTGCACATTGATTTGATTGTATTAGATGGTTGGAGGCAATCGGCAGGAAGCCTTGGATCTAGGTTTCGTGTTAGTTGGCACTCGTGTCAGCAAGGCGTACATGCGACCTTGAAGGAACTCATGTCCCTTCTGAAATTCATACCCGCGTCACCCAGTGAACTCTGCAGTCAGAGACGTTACCACTGAACTATTTGGGCTCGCGATTGACCTCCTGTAGGATTGTAGTGGGTATTTTGATTGGATACAAGTAACTAGTGTGATGTGTCTAGTCTTTTGTTTGGTGCTGATTGAATTCTATCAGTCAGGTTTGCACCGTGCACCGTAATGGTGAGCTACCTAAAATGGCGGCCACATTGCAAACCTGACTGATAGAATTCAGTCTGTATCAAAGAAAGCACTAGACACATCACACTAGCTACTAGTGTCAAAATCAAAATATCCACTACAGTCCTACAGGAGGTCAATCGCGAGCCCGAATAACTCAGTGGTACCGTCTCTGACTGCAGAGTTCACTGGGTGACGCGGGTTCGAATCTCAGAAGGGACATAAGTTCCTTCAAGGTTGCAGATACGCCTTGCTGACGAGTGCCAACTAGCACGAAACCTAGGTCCAAGGCTTCCTGCCGATTGCCTCCGACCATCTAATACGCAAGCAACATACATGACAGAAAATTGACAACACATACTGTGAAAAGTGATTTAATAATGCATGGAGCTTTTTATACACGTAACTGTTTCCTTATAAGGTCGTGACCTTATTTATTATTCTATTAAATACCCAATTAGCATGGTAGGGGTCAAGAAAAGATTGAAAAAAAACTTGACAATCGATAGAATTATCTCAATTAACAGTGTATTTAAATCTATTCAGGTCATAGTTCCATTTAGAAGTAACACCCATATATATATATATAAGAATGGTTTACTACCTACCTGAAATATATATCTGGTTTTAGTATAGTTGGTGACTACTTCACCTCGCGATAAATGATAACACCATGTCAACTTTCGACCAGTATGATGTTCTTGATAGAAGGAGAGAAATGTATTATGACATTGTTCCAACTAGAGAAAATGAAGAGAGATTTACATAAAACAAACAAATATTAATTAAAAAAAAGGTCAATGACATTTGAATAAGGCATTTAGAAGACAAATTTCGAGAGATGATGGCATTGTTTTGTAGTTTCTCTTCACAATCGCTTTACAACTAGCATCGTTCACAATAATAATAATAATATAAAATAAAATGCATGACAATTACTCAGTTATATATAAAACAAAAGTACATACATACTTACTAATGACCAATCATATTTAAATAGGTCAAGTAGTTATCAATATTGATTTTGTGACCTGACATGAATAAGTGCTTTGCAATGGTAGATGATGGTGGATTTCTATTCAGATTAAGTGCATTAGGATTCTCTATACTTTTTAATAACCATTTTGCAACATGTTCTTTTCAACGACATTGGAATATTCCATTGGTTCTACTTATATAAGTGTTACCGCAACTGCAGATGGAACTTGTAGATACAGAATTTCGTCCTATAATCGTAGGTACAACGATCGAAAGTGTTCACGATGTGAGGAAAAGAGATGTGGCGGCGTAGAATGTGCGTTTGATGGCTGATCGAAGTCTTTGAGCTAGTTGTCAACTGCATAATCTGGTCACACCCTTGAATGGTAGGTTAGTTAAGATAGCTTTCTTCGGTACCTAAGATGTCTTTTCAAGATGTGATCTATCCTTACTGTGACAATTGATAAAGTTTTCTGGATAACCATTAGCCTAATAAAAGTGAAAGTATGTGTCGAAGCTCATCCATTAATGTGTCAGTCAGGCATATTTTGCGGACGTGTGAAAAAAACAAAAACATTTCACTAGGGAACGTTTATACTGGATAAGAACAAAGCTGGTGAAATGAAGATATTGTCCACTTTATGTCTTCTTACGAAACACAGATCGCTTAATCGTTCCGTTGTCTCTCCTGGTTACTGAAATATGCACGAAACCAAGTTTGTTATTCGATTCGAATTCGCAAGTCACTCTACATGACTAAGAGACTTGGAGCGTCACCAAAAGCATTACCGACAGGCTTCTGTGGGCTTTCATTAACACCTGTCTTCGCGGTATCAACACTGAGAGTTGGACGGCCTCGCGCATAAAGGATAAGCGACCAAGAACTCTGACAAGGAACCAACCAACCAACCAACAACGTATCATGAAACAAATATGCATAAAACAATAGAGATAGATTGGGCATAGGCTCAGAGGAGTGCTGGGTTGCATCACACAAACCCTCGAGCAGAACCCAAATGAGAAACAACGAGTTGGGCGTAGGTCCAAGGATGACATAGAGGAGATCCGGTGATGATTTGGAGGCTTATAGTAAGTTATGGAGTCAGCTAGAAAGAACTGAAGAGAACTTACTTTACTTTACTTTACTTCGGCTATCTCCTACGGGAGGATGAGCCGGCTTCATGAACGTCTCGAATCATCGCTGCCCAGGCGCGGCAATTTGTAAGAGAGTTCATGTAGTTTCATGGGAATTTGGTACGAGTGATGTCCCCAGCGTCGCTCGGCCTTTTGTTTGAGAGTGCAGCTCTAGCCTTTACACAGCCAAGTGTGACCTACAAGGCAGTAGGAGTGGAGTAAGGAGTTCACTATCCATTGGCAGCCGGTGACCGGAGTTCGGTTCATACGCCTTTTTGAATGGGGCCAGACATCCAGGACATCCAACAAGCCCTTTGTCCATACGTCTGCCGGTGAGCTCCAGTAAGCCTCATACGCCAGTCGTTGGAGGTTTGGAATCAGGGTTTAGCCATCTCCCCTAGACTGTCTTCCAACGGACAGTCAACCCGGTGAGGAGCGCCGGGCATCCGCTTTTGCCCTCTCACTTTGGTGAGAAACACCTCCGCCACGTGAAGGCAGTGAGTAGGACTTCCTCAGGAGAGGCTATGTAAGACGCCCGGTCATATGGGAGCATTTCAAGAGGTGTGCGGAGGGGTGGCCAACCCGCAGCGCAAGGCACCCACCCCCGACCATCCTGAGGCTTTGAAGAGAACCGAGGGGAATGGAGATGTACAACTGCATCCTTGTATTCTATTCCAAACCGAAGGGAATAGTAATTATAATAATAATAATACTCTTTTTATAGAGAAGAGGCATTTTGAATAGTGTGTTCTTAGGAGGATGAATGGGCAACAGAATCTGACACAAAGTAACACTTACTTCAGCAGGAATAGAGAAAGGCGCTTGTGCTTGAAACGGCCAAGCATTTGAACTGAGAATCATTATGTTGAAGTCAGCTATAAAGTAAAATAAATACAGAGAACTTTTCAATGGGATTATAATGAATAAAGTTAAATAGTTATTATATACAAGTGAGTAAAAGCCTAGAGAGAAATGATACCAAAAGCTCTACTGCAAACCCTATTTTATTTTACTTGAAACTAAACCATCTTTTCTTATGTTTGAATTGAGGATTATTCAGAAGTGAAACGCTGCCCAACAATCAATTGACATCTCATACAATTGGCGATGAGACATACACATTATCTGAGGGTTGGTTTTGCTACCTGGTTGCGCAAATCCTTGATAGGCAGGAGCAATGGGGTTCCAACTCGTGACTAGAGTATGAAGCTTCAAGATTTGGAGTTTTACAACACAACCTTCTTCTCCAGGTTTACTAGGTTGAGAAGTGTGAGTCGACCGGAAATCAAATCATGACCTGTTGTGTGGCTAACGAAAGAGTTCTACGGACAAAAAATTACGAATCCGTTATTCAGTAACCCTAGTTACATTTATAACATCTTAGAAAATATGTAAATTCGATTGTATAATACCTAAATCACACGTGAAACGCTACTGCTAGCATATATTGAAACATTATTCACTGGAACACGACTCAAACCTGTAACACATAACACAAAAGAAGCCAAAGCTATTTAGTAAAATTTAATGAAATAATTTACAAAATGCTGAACAATACTAGCAGTGGCCAAGGACAGCTAGGATACTAAAACCATTCAGAATAGATATTGCACAATCGCTTCAAGTAATACCAAGTAGATTAAAAGACCAAGCAATGAAAGAAGACAAGATATACAGGATAAAGTGCATGAATTCTAATAAACAATCGATATTTTCAAAAGAAAAAAGGCGTCTACTTAGATTCTGAATCATAGAAAAACTATCAAAATAAACTAATGTCAAAAGACATGATAACATGCATATTCTTTCATAACAATGCACGTAAACAACAATGGACGCAGCCAATTCGATTGGCGGAAAAATCAGTGTATAAATTTCAAACAGTGGGAAATGTCAAAGAATTTCTAGAAACCTATTAATCAGACATCATTGAACAGAGCTTAGAATGGCAGTCAACTATCCACCTCACTCAACTTCATCAACTTTGAAAAAGCCTTCGACAGCGTCGATCGAGAGGTGATTTGATAACTACTTAGCTACTACTGGGTGACGCTAACATTTATCCACACCCCACGCAATAGTTCTACGATAACACAGCATGTCAAGTAATCCACAACGAGAAACTCACAGAATCCTTGGAAGTGAAGACGGGAGGAAGACAAGGCTACCTACTTTCTTCAACGATTTTCCTGATTGCGGTAGACTGGATAATGCAACAGACAACGGCCAGTGAGGAAACAGGCATAAAATGGACTCACACAAAATACTTGAAGGATCTGGACTTCGCCCGCGATGATATATGTCTGATTTCCCACAAACTGAAAGATATGCAAGTGAAAAGCAACAAGCTGGCGATAGACGAAGCATCCAGAGAAGATAAGACTTCAGGTGAACATTGAGAAAACAGAGGTGATGAAGATTCCTAGCCAACACCACCAACAGCAACAACAAAAACACACGACAGTCAGCCAGCATAAATGGGAGGAACCTGAAAGGAACAACCTGATTTACCTACCCTATACCTGGAGGCATCGTTTCAACTACAGACGGATGGAACTGACGAGGACATCAAAGCCAGAATCGGAATAGCAAGACAAGCTTTCATTACTCTCAAGTCTGTGTGGAGGTCAACAGCACTCAACATGAGAGCGAAAATAAGATCCGGATTTTCAACTCCAATGTGAAGCCAGTGCTACTCACCACACGGATCAGAGACTTGGTGCGTCACAAAGAGCACTTTAAATAAACTACAAACCTTCATTAACAGTTGTCTTCGCTCAATACTCAAGATCAGATGGCCGACCAGAAAAGATCAGCAATGGTGAGGGATCTCTGGCAATGAGCGAACCAACCAGGAACCGATTGTGCAACATGTAAGCAGAAAGAAATGGAGATGGATTGCCCATCTGCCCACCTCTGCTCACTGTTTCTATTATGCTTTTCTTGTACTTTCTTCTCTTGCTTCGCGTGCTACACGGAATGTGGCGACTTGAACTTCCGCACATTTGTGCAAAGTTCTATGTCGAAAACAGACAGACAGACAGACTCTGAGGAAACCATCAAGTGACATCACTAGACAAGCATTCGAGTGGAACCCGAAAGGGAAGCGGCGAGTTGGTTGTCCAAGGGTGACTTGGAGGAAGTTATGTGAAGAGGAGATGAAAGCATATGGGCAGACTTAAAGCCAGGTGAAAACTCTAGCAGAGAACTGAACGCAATTGAGACGTGAGGCTGAAGCCCTATGTTCCTCTAGGAAATAAAGGAAACAATAATAATATTAATCCGGAAAATCAGCAGCCAACCAGACACTAGAATAAGCCACATGGCACAAAAAGAAAGTCAATTCCAAGTTAAGGAAATCTACCACAATACTGACAGTAATCAACACAAACAATCACAACAAAGGTTGTCCAACAGATACAATCGACATCATCATCATCATCATCATTAATGAAGAACTGAAATAAATTCACACTTCATATTGAAGTTAAAACCGATGAAGCAATGTCGCTAGGAAGATAATGAAACCTACGCAATTGTAAACCTCTAACCACCGCCTCGGAGACAGAAATGACTGAAATCACATACGTCTAAAAAAATGTGTTAATATGCAGTCAGCAGCTTAAACTAGAAATGCACTGAAGACGGAAATCACACGATTATGTCAAACAGATTGCAAAATGAAAAAAAACAATAAACAATATAAATAATAAATAAAAGTGACTTTATTGATTATTTACACCATGAAATTTTGAAGAATTCATTATAACTGATTAGAATTGTCTTCCTATATAGAACAACAACATGTATTGAATATCTTGATAACTTTGGAAAGTAAATAAAATCAACAGCACAACAATAGGTCATGCGAGGTAAGTAAAATATCTCTTACTAGGCCATTTATATTGTCATTATTAACAAGAGAGAGAGAGAAAGGGGTGGGGGAGGAAAGTGTAACTGTTTGGTGTGAAAAAATAGAAGGAAGTATCACAATCACTACCATCGTCATCACATGACTACACAGCAGACACAGATCGATATAACACTTTAAATGAATTTATCATGAAAAAGTGATTTATATTTATGGGCACATACACACACATATGGTTTTTACACAAACAATTAAATCATGACAAAAAAGATGCTTCAGAAATTCATCAAAACAGAAATATATATATCTGATATACAAGGATGATATGGAATTGAAGTGAAAGAGACAAATACCTGTACTTTAATCTAATCTACATAAGAAATTTGGTGCATCAGCGGGGGGATCCTTACCAAGCAAACTATGCATGTGTTGTTACAGGGTTCGGTTCCCAGCTGACACACTTCTAAACCTCACCTCCTAGTTTATTAACCGAAAGCACATTCAAGTAAAAAGCAGAAAGTTGGTCATGAGGCTGCTGCCATCTTCATTTTGTGGAGAGAAAAATAACAGCACCACGGTTAGTGAAATCTTACAGACCTAAACCCTGGGGGTCTATGGTTCCACACGGAAATTTAACAGAATAAACCACAGTACAAATTATGTTAACCTGTTACGGCATACATTATAAGAGGTAAAAATCACATGTGAACTATGAATACTGAAATTAGAGTAACAAAGCATGTAAACGCTAACTGACTGACTTTCAACATACAACTTTCCACAGGAGTGCAGAACTTCAACTTACAACACTCCATGTGGTACACGTAGGTTTAGAGAACAGAGAAAAACGAAATTCGAAACAACCATCATGAGTAGAAGGGGACGGGTGAAAGAACAGTAACATGAAGATTACAAAGAACGCATGCATGTGCAACATTAAGATAAAGACTTGATCCATGCAGTTTTGCCTTGTTTTGATTGTTTTTCTGACCAGCCTCTCTCTAAGTCTTCGTGAGGTCCATACAGCACAAGAGAGCTTGGATTCTATGCTAATCAAGATGATCTATGATCAAAGGAAACATTTGGGGAAAATAGAGAATCTATATAAGTCTGAAGGACTGCTACGCAAACTAATGTAGTCAATAATCCTCCTCAAGGGATGATATGGAGAAGATTGTGTGGGGAGATGAAAGCTTATGGACAATCGTTGAGCCGGGCAAATAAATTAGGAGTATGCTGCACAAGGTAAAAATGGAGATCTACTGTTGAAGTCCTATCTCTTATCCCAATCTCTTAACATACAATTTATCAATTCATGTGTTTTGCCCATCATTCTTTATTCTTCTCCATTATTCTTCCCTGGGCTACTCAAGAAAGACCATATAATACTACGAAGAACATTGAGGGCTGTAAGTAGGGTCAGTGCTATCCCTTTGACTCAACTAAATGACACTGTTGTCAATAGGCATATGAATTCTTGTAAACACTTAGCTAAAGATATCTTATCTGATAGTGAACATCCTCTTTATTCACAATTGTTTCCTTGTATCTCTTCGGGTAAGACCAGAAGAAATTTCATAAACATTTATGCTCGTACTACAAAATATAAAAATTCGACCGTGCCATGTTTGGCAAGAGTATTGTGTGAAGAGACAAATATCAGAAAAGAACTTTTACAACTTTTGAATCAATAACTAAACTATAAAATGAAATGATGCATATTAATGCATGTGTTATTTGTTATATTATTTATTTATTATTCACTATGACCTAGCAATGGTGTGATTTTGTTGGGTTTCATTTTTTCCTATTCACTATCAATATTTTAACATTTTATACATTTATATAATTATAAACAGAGCTAAACCATTGCAATATGTTAAAGAAACACTGAAAATTCCATGCTGTAAATTGTTATTGTTGTGGAATAAAGTGATTATTATTATTGTTATTATTATTATTAAGTTCCACTAGGAGACAAAGGGAAAAAATAGTAATAATAATAATAATAAGTCTTTAAATACTCCAACATTAAAACTAACAGGATTATGATTCCATCCTGTACTACTCATACCCAAATAGAATTTCGGGTATAACTTTTGATTCGCCTTTACTGCCTACAATATTCTAATGTTCAAGGATTTAAGACTGAGGAGCTTGAAGACGAATTTATTGAATACGATTATGCAATTATGATAAGTTTTCAAATGTTGCTTTTCTGAGCATTATACTAAACACAAAGCTACAAAAATTAAAAAAAAGTCTTTGCGTCTGTGAGCTGTCAAGGATTACTCTATATGGACTGAGTTTATATGATGTGATTTACTTGTGGAAGTAAACGCTGAAAAAAGTATGTCTTTCATCAAGTCTGAATGGCTGAGTTTCAGCATTCAAATGTGCACGGAAGTGCACCACCACTTCAACATGACATGACTGACTGCATTCAACGTAGAACTTTGCACAGATGTGCACTACTTCCACTTGCCACACTTCACTTTTTAATTTTTTTTATACAGCTTGACTCCACACCATATTTTTACTACAAGTATGGAATTTTCAGCATGTGGTATGGGTAGCCCAAATTTTGCAGAGTGACCAGTGATATCGGATGTGCATCGGCAAGCGACCGAACCTCGAACCATTTGCATGGTTGGCGAGAGTCCTAACCACTGTGCCACAAAGCAAAAGGGTAGAGAGACTCGAAAGAGTGAAAATAAACAGAAATATGAGGCAAAAAGAATAGTAATATGAAGAAACAATAAAGTCTCACTTGATATCATAGATCACAAAAAGTCAATACATCAGCAACAGCCACTGAGAGCGATTTTCAGCCGTATCACCAATTGTCCTCTAGCTACCCTTGATTCCTGCTCATCCCAAAGACCCTAACCAGGAAGCCAGTCTACACCTCACTAAGTGGCAGTTGACTTAAACTAACCGTTGTGGATTTCATTGACTGATGAAGCCATGTTTTCATGTGATCACCGCTAGGTAACTCTTTTCCAATTTGATCAATCCTATATCAGCTAGTATTGCCTGTCGACGGAGGCGACCGATAGCTAAGCATGTGTAGCCCACGCCTTAACGAACTCAATCGGTGTAGCTTCACAACTTTATCGATCCATTTCCCCTCCTTGCATAGCAGTCGATTGAAGCCTAACCGCAATATCACCCAGCCTATTATGCTACTTAACACGGAAAATAGAAAGCAGATACCTATGATCAGAGACAACTAGCCTTTTCGTATCTTCTACTTTCAATGACCATTTGTCACTCACAGCCAACCATAAAGGAGGATAGAGCGGACTGCTGAGCACTTCACACGCCCATCGGTCGAAAGCCAAACAGATATCATGTCTACGCCAATGATGGCATAAGTTGATAGGCAAATATCAAACGAGTCTTCTGTATCTGTACTGAGATTTCGTCAGCGATCAACCCGTTGGGGCTGATGCAACACTCCCTAAAAATAAGTGAAGTGGTCAAGATAACATACTCCATATAACACAAAAAGCAGAGAAAATGTGGGAGATAAGATGAAATTCAAAAGAATTATAGTGAGCAGAAATGAGCCGCAGAAAAAAAACAGTAAAATAGGAAAACATGAGGACTTAGTCGATCCCGGAGATTACAAAGAGTGAATACAACAAATTTGAGGTATATCACTAACAGTCTCCAGCCATTGGTTCTCAGGCGTTCTTGGAGACGTTAACGAAGCAGTGTACATTTCTCTACGTTATTGGCTCAAACTAACAGTGCGATTCTTTATGGACTGATTTCATGTTATGATTCGACCATCGCTTAGTCTTTTTCAAACTAGTCTTAATGTCAGCTAGCATAGCTCAATGAGGAAGGCGGTAACTCAAAGCATCCACGACAAAACATATCCTAGACCTCAGACAAAAAAGGGAGTAATTTGAAAAACAGACAAACAAACAAAATTGATATTAAATGCATCCACTTACTACCCTTAATTGTACTTCCATTAACTTCTTCTTGTTTCTGTAAATAATCCATAAACTTTGCATTAAGTTCCCTTGTAGCATTGACATCTTGAAACATTCTTTGCAGTTTAGCTGTATACTCAAAACCGCATGCTTCTTTCAACTTTGAAATCATAGAAGCTTCTGCATCTTCAGACACTGATTGGTTATAGACAAGACGACGTGCTAAAGTTTTACTATAAAACTTTTGAAAGACATCTTTGTCTTCAATATACCTGAAAACATTCATCTAAAAAGGAAGGTAGAAAGGTATTGAGAGGGTGAACAAAAAAACATATGAGGTCAAATCTTGAAAGTTACGTGGAAAGATGCTGCGCATAAATAAGCAGATTAAAACAATCATTAAATTGAAAAACACATAGTCTCAAAGGACTTCAACAGCTAAGTAACCGGCATTGTTCTTAACAATTTAGTTACTACTAGAATAGGATATAAAACTAGGCTAAAAAACTAAACTGTTTGCTGCTTTAAGGAATATTCTAAATTTAAAGTGATAAATTAATCTTTTTCTTTTTCAGGATTTCATCATGAGCTGACATTAGTTAGAGAACCATTGGAAAACCTGGGAGTACTGGACAGTTGATTCGTCCTAGTTTGGGACTCTTCAACAGTATGCACCCACCGCCAGGGTTGGAACCCAGGACCTTCCGGTTACAAGGCGAGCCCGTATACCAATAAGCCAATGGGACCCGATCCAATAGCCGATGAATTCTAACTTCTGACAATTCACGACATAGCGCGACCGCTCGCCAGTGGTCCTTGAATTGGTAGAGGTTAGAATTCAAGGACCATTGGATCGGGTCCCATTGGCTTATTGGTATACGGGCTCGCCTTGTAACCGGAAGGTCCTGGTTTCGAACCCTGGCGGTGGGTGCATACTGCTGAAGAGTCCCAAACTAGGACGAAACAGTTGTCCAGTACTCCCAGGTTTTCCAATGGTTCTCTAACTAATGTCAGCTCACGATGAAATCCTGAAACCAACCAAATCCCTACAAACCAAAACTTAAATCTTTTTCTTTTTCTTAAGGGTGCTTAAGAGTGTCACTACTACAAAAAGTTTGGAAGGATGAAAGGCTACCACCAAAGAAGGGCGACTAAGGCCTCTGAAAGAATTGGCGTCGAATCCAACCAACCAAAATACTAAATCTAGCCATCATCTTGAAGTGAATAAAAGATGTACTCAGCCCAAAGGAACAAAATGTATCCAGGATAGGCAAGTCAAGTGCGTATCGAATTGCAACTCTACGCATTACCATCGAACAAAGTATAGAATGGCGGTCAAACCTCTACCTCAACTTCATCGAATTTGAAAAGGCCTTCAACAGACAGCGTTGACCGAGAAGTAATTTGAAAAACTACTTGAAAACTATGGAGTGTAGTGCCCTAAAGCTTTATAAGCCTCATTCAACAGTTATATGACAATACCACGTATCGGCTGACGCACAACGAAAAACTCAACCCAAAGAATAGGGATCGGGATTTTCAACACCAATAATAAGTCAGTCATTTCTGCTATATGAGTCAGAAACTTGCGCTGTGCATCACAAAGAACATTTCCAACAGGCTACTGCAGACTTTTATCAACAGCTGTCTTTGCCCCATACTAAAGATGAAATTGCCAGCCAGAAAGAATCAGCAACAATATGCTCTTGGAACGAACCAACCAAGCTCGAAAAATATCCCAAAGAAAATGCAAATGGATTGAGCATATGTTGAAACCGCTGAGTGACATTACGTACCAGACCATCGCTCGAGTAGAACCTGAATGGGAAACAACAAGTGGGGCGTACGAAGGTGACATGGAGGAGATCGTGTGGCGAAGAAGAGATAACAGATTTGCAATCATGGGGTCAGCCAGCATAAGGGGATTACGAAGAATAGGTGAAATGGTGATGTGCTGCTGAAAGCATGTGTTCTACTTGGAATCCAAGGGAACTATAATACAATGATAAATCAATCTTTCTTTCTTCAGAGTAGAACACACTTGATCATTCCCAAACGTCTCAAGTGGAACAAGGGGCATCAACAGCTTATCTCTGTATTTTCTACAATCTTTTTTACCTACGATTTCCTCCTCCATGTTCCCCTGGAAGGCTACATTTTCATGTAACGTCGCCTAGTTCACTAGCTGATTCCTAAGCCCTGAAAATGTAGGAAAGATCGGTTAGCAACCCTACCTTGGAAAATCAATTCAATCACTACAGAAACTTCAAAGCACAGAAAAATTATTTAGATCTAGCTAAGCAAGCCATCATCTTTATCACAGGCCCCCTATTGAAGAAATACCCCCATAGAAATAATATATTATATCGATTTGTAACTCGCACTATCAATAAACTAACAGACCGGTGAAAAACTCCTCATAGAAGTCACCGAGGTGTCGATAAACAGTTGTGACCTAATTGACTTATTTGCATTCGTTAGTCAACACATCATGTGTCTAACGTTCACAATACTCACTTCTTAATGGAATATCAGCGCATATTATTTCATTGTTAGAAAACTTATAGATTATATAAGAATATCAGTTTCTGATCCACGTCTCAAGAACACAATGATTTAGCGAAATTAGAAACCTCATATAAAGCTGCTTTTAATAACAATGAGTCATACATAGAACGTGTAAGAAATTAATTCCATCCAGGCAGTGATGACGGGGGATTGATGAGTAAATGACAAAGACTGTCAATTAGCAATAGTCGGATAAAGGGTGATCTGGTTGTCAAACTTCAAGCATAAAACATTTTTTTAATAACAGCACCTATTGTCAAAGTTTAGAGAAACCGAATGCTGCGTATTACTCACACGTTGCTTATCATCTCCGTAGAAACACTAAGTGGGTAATTTTAAGGTTAGAAACTAGTAATGTAACAGACTGGCTGAGTTTTTGCACAGAAGTTCAATAGTTCAAATTGTCACACTGCATATTGCACACAAATCAATATAACTCAAATGAACTATAATGAGCAGAGATGTATAAAAGAATGAATAATTACACAGAAAAATATGAGGGTTTTAATGGACCTGGAAGGTTATAAAGAGTGACTGGATCAGTGCCACTGAGAACGATTTTGAGTTAAATCACCAATAAACTGTAGCCATTGGTTCTTAGCAGAGTACATCTGTCTATGTGGCTGGCTCAAATCAACAGCCAAAGACCTCAATGGATTGATTCTTGGTTTTGATTTGACCATCCCTCACCTCTCCACCCTCCCCGCCCGTCAACTTAATCCGATGTTGGGTAACATTGCTTGACAAGGATGGAGTCCAACCGAAAGCTGCCACCTTGTCGTGGTGGTCGGGCTTGAATACCGTAATGACCCAACATGCTAAACTGACTGGGACCTGTCCCTGCAGGTCCTACCATGTCAGGAGGGTTGTTTGGATAGCGGTTAAACTAAAAGCAGTTACCATGGGGTACATGGGCTCCAGAATCCAATCGGATCAAATGGCGTATGAATCCATATGGGCCACCGGAAACCATGGGAATGCAGCTCCTGACGCTGCTCCTCTGCCTTTCGGATTAGACTCCAAGTCAAAGGCTCGGGGGTAGTCCCTTAATAAAACCACCTGCTACGGTCTGGGCGCCCGAGCAGTATCTCAGCCCTCACACAAAGAATTGAATAAAGCAACAAACAATCAATGAAACTTATCGCGTGCTATTACACGTGTTGCAATTCCCTTCTTTCTTCTCTTCCCGATGATAGTTAACGAATACTGTTTGGACTTGTTAAGCATGACTGTTTTCCTTCCAGATGAAGTTCTTTATCCGTTCTCTACTTATATATATATATATATATATATATCCTCTTCTTTTTTTTTCTTTTGATTTATGTTGTTTTATTATTATTGTGTGGCGCACCCTTCTTGGTGTCATATTGTAGCAAGTTTTTATGCGTTTAAATAAACAAATAAATAAGGATGGAGATGCCTTGGCATGCGCGACATCTATCCAAGCCAGCTCAATAGATGTTGGTCCGTAACTTCATCGACTGAATCTCCCTACCTACCAAGCACAACTCTTATACATAACCTCACTATGCCAAATACTAATAGTATTGTGCACAGATAATGGTCCCAATGGTGCTAACATGATTAGCACAAGTCATACACTTAAACCACCTAACATTTTGCTGAATGAGACGGACAAAGACAAAAGATTATGACGGATCCGTTAAATGGAAGGCAACAGTATCATAATAGTTACTATGATGATCATAAATTAGTTAATGCCTTGAAACATTACACACAATAGACCCGTTCGCACACACACACACACATGTACAACAGACAATCTTAGCATCAAATTAGCGATTGGCAGTTTACGCAGTTTAAGGTGAAACTTCACCACAGTTACCACTGCACACCAAAATTATTCACATCACAATATGTCATCAACTTGACGCCATAAATAGCATTTCAGAGAGCAAGCAAAAAACCATGATGGTAAAAACTGCTGATCGGTTGGGATGAGTAGTTGAATACCAACCAACCAGAGGGCTGTTTCCCTCGCTTTCGGTTAAACTCAGCAGTAGCAGTGTACCCGATTCGCAACGCCGAAGTAGCTGACCACCAAATCTGTATGGATTGAGCTCTCAGAGATGAGCTCGTCTCAAAACGAGCTAAAACAGTCGTCTGGTTAACAAGCACTACTACGACTACTACTCACCTTAATCAATCTATCTGATCGGCTAAGACTACATAATAAGAAGCATTGACTGACACGATGTCTGTCTATCTGTTCTCGACATAGAACTTTGCACATATATGCGGAAGTTCAAGTCGCCACACTCCACTCCATGTACCACACAAAGCAAGAGAAGAAGGTAGAAGAAATGCATAATAGAAAGACAGTAAACACAGGTGTCAGACAAAGGAATAGTGATAACGAAGAACAATATAGTTTCATTGGAAACCATAAGTCACTAGGAGTGGATGCATCTGCACCAGCCATTGAGAATGATTTTGAGCCATGTCACCAATTGTTTCCAACCATAGATTTTTACCCTCCCGAGGACCCCAACCAGTCAGGAAGTCTACACCTTCCTACGTGGCTGGCTTAGACTAACTGTTGTGAATTTCATTGACTGGTGCCATATTTCGCTTTGACCGCCGCTAGCTTTTTTCCAGCCTGACCCTATATCCGCTAACATTGCTCGTCGAGAAATGCAATGACTAGACATACGTAACACATGTCCTAACCATCTCAGTCTATGTAACTTCACAACCTCGTCGATTGATTTCCCCTACTTACCTAGAACTCGACGCCTAACTTCAATATTGCTCACCTTATTATGCCACTTTACACGGGAAATAGAGCGAAGGCACCTATGATCAAAGACAGCTAATCTTTTCATGTCTTCCACTCTCAGTGGCCAGGTCTCACAGCCATAAAGGAGGACGGAGCGCACTGATGAGCAGTACACCCGCCCTTTGGTTGATAGTTGAACATCTCGTCTACGCCAGAGTCGGCGTTAACTGGCAAATGCGAAACGAGCCCCCTGTATTCGTGCTGAGATTTCGTCTCAGCACGATGACTGACACGATGAGAAAGTAAAATTCCAGTAGGCAAACAAAGGGTATAATATAACACAACTTACCACTTGTCCAAGTGTTTCTTCTAAATCATCCAATTGAATGTCTTTAGCACTAGAATTCAGAAAACAACAGAGTGACAAAGGGGGATAATACAGTGGTCATATTAAATTAATATTAAAATTAGACTCAATGCATACGTAGAGCTTTTCAAACGAAAATAATCATGGTACTTCGACTATATATATATATATATATATATATATATATATATATATATATATATATATATATATTCCCCTTCTTCATATACTAATAATTGACAATAGAGACAATATATGCACAATGTTAGAACCATCTGAAAAGACTGCCAAATTGATCTACTAATCAATTAAATCATTAAAATACACAATCATATTATTCAATAGGAATTTTAAAATCAGCTGATTTCAACGAAAATATGGCTATTCATCAATTCAAGTCAGTAAAATAAGAGGGCACACAGAGGACAGTGGATAGTGTGCATGTAAGTGAGTGAGAGATGCCGTTATAAATCATAAAAAACAATTTTTGGAAAAACTGATCGCTATCTCTTTGTATTTCTCTCTCTCTCTCTCAAAAACAAGAAACAGCAGACATTTAGTATGCATAATAATACTAATAATAAAAGGTATGAAGAACATTAAACTAGTTTAGACATTTCTAACAGGAGATCGTTTGTGTGTGTGTGTGTATGTGTGTGACAGTGACAGAGAGAGAGAGGGAGACAAGGCGAAAGAAAAATATGTATACATACGTAAAAGAATGTAAATATGACATAATATTAATAGTAATAATGCTTTAAAAGCCGAGAGAAACAGACAAGATCATGATGAACTTTAACTTGATGTGTCGGACACGCTGGACGGTGGTAAAATTAAACAAATAACAACAATGGACACTAGTAACTAGTGTGATTTGTTTAGTCCTTTGTTTTGTGCAGACTGAATGAATTCCATCAGTCAGGTTTGCAATGTGTGACCACTATTCTAGGTAGCTAGTCACATCACGGTGCACTTCGGAATGTTAATGTTAGATGGTTGGAAGCAATCGGCAAGAAACCTTACCTAACCTAGATTTCGTGCTAGTTGGCACTCACCAGTCAGCAAGACGTATCTGCAACCTAGATACCAATCAAGTCACTTCTGAAATTCATACCCGCGTCACCCAGTGAACTCTGCAGTCAGAGACGTTACCACTGAGCTATTCGAGCTCGCGATTGACCTCCTTGTAGGACTGTATTCGGTACTTTCATTGTATGCTAGTAACTAGTGTGATATGTCTGGTTCTTTGTTTAGTGCAGACTGAATGAGTTCGTTCACAGTGGCAGATACGCCTGGCAGACGAAACCTATGTCAAAGGCTTCCTACCGATATATATATATATATATATATATATATATATATATTATTAAACTAATGATGTGTTGGCGATCTGCAGCACATTGGCAACATAGGACACGTAGAGGATTACTGGGTTAATGTGTTTTCGGTAAACCATACATTTACATTGTGATGGTTTTAAAGAGTCAAATGTATATGTCTTTACTTATAGCATTTAGGCCAAGAAGCTTCACTAGATTGGCTGTCAATGTGCCTTTCAACAACTGAATATCTTCAGAAAGAAGCTTTATACCTTGAGCCTAAATTTTAAGTGTCCCTTGTATTCAATACACGCATTTAGCCATCCATGCTGAAAAAGTTTGAAAAGTTGTACAACCAACTAAAACCTTTTGTCGTAACATCTAATGAAGATCGTGGTCGGTTTAACGCCAAGATGGTGGATATAGCTGACCAGTTTTCAAAACACCAACCCAAAGGAGGAAAGTGCTTTAACTTCTCAGCATTTCAAAGCCTTGAAAGGGTTACGGGGAAACCTTAATATAACAAATCCGAGACCCGATAATGGTTCTAGAGTCGTCATCATGAACAAAAGTAACTACAAATCCAAAATGTTATCTATTCTTAATGATAAAAGCAAATATTTAGCCGTGATCCCTCTTCAGAAGATATTCAGTGGTTGAAAGACACAGTGACAGCTAATCTAGTGAATCTTCTTGGCCTAAATGCTATGAGTAAAGACACCTATACATTTGACTCTGTAGAACCATTGCAATTTAAATTCCCAGACATGTATGGTTTATCAAAAACACATAAACTAATGATAGCTAGTTCAACCCAAGAATGCTCTTTTATAAATTTGAACTGAGAAATAACAAACATTGCTGCAGAATAACTAACGTGGATCCATTTTATTTCGTTAATTCTCATCAACTGCGTACACAGCCTATAATCTTTAGTAAAATAAGTCAGCGTACAATGTTAACATACTTCTGTCTATCAACAGGCATACTGTGAGAGAGTCGTAGAAAAACAAAACATCAAGATGATGAGGAATCTGATAGGGAGAGGAGAAGGGTCTCGAAAAATCAACTGAGAAACTTGTTGTTAGGGTGGCAACAAAAATTAGTAACAATGACGTAGTTAGATAAGAAAATATCAGAATTTGATGTGCAAGAGGTCAGATGAAAAGATAATGATCTAATCGGTGAGTTGGACTCATAAGGTTAAGAATAGCGATTCCATATGAAAGTCAAAACAGAAAAAATAACGGTGAAAAGATAAGTTAATAAAATTAGAAAACAAAGAGTTACTAAGAGATGAGTCACTAGTGCCGTCGGAATCCACTGACAGGTGACTAACAGTTGCCCCAATGCAGATTTGCAAGCCGTTTCATTCGACTGATTTTCAAATGTTGGTTCTGCTGGGGGGAGGGGGGTATTTGACAGATTTCAAAATTTGATCAACGAAGTGAATTCATTTAGTTAGCGAAACATTGAAAACCACAGTATGGAGTACTGGATAGCTGTTGAGTCCTTCTCTAGGACTGACTCTACAGGATGAAGTTAAATTCTTAGGTTTTCGTCACGAACCAATATTAGTTAGAGAGAGGATGAAGCTGCCTGAAGTCCTACTGAAATCAGTTGAGAGTAAGGATAAATTACTCGCCAACGACATCGGCTTGCATTCATGCTTTATATATAGCGCGAATGAGTAGAAGATAGAATTCATGGGGCATTGGATTCCGTCCCAGTGGCTCAGTTGTGTACGAACTCTCTTTGTAACCTGACCCGACGGGAAGCTGCTACCTTGACGTGGTGGTCGGGCTTGAACACCGCAATGACCTAATCAAGCTATACTGGCTGAGACTTATGTCTCTTGAGGTTCTACCATGCCAGGCAGGTTGTTTGGATAGCGGTTAAACAAAAAGCAGCTACCCAATCCAACATCATGTCCAATACAAATTCACAAAATTTCATGCCGGATCGGCCGTGGCCCGGATTAACAACGACCGCGCTTCCTGCTGCCGTGTCACAGGGCAGGAGTGATAAGTATGCTACTGAGGCACACCAAACAAAAAAGAACGAACAAAAACAGGCCGCGTGTGACCGGCCTCAAGCAGTTGTCCCCTGGGCTCTGCGGTCACGCAACCAACTTCCACGGTGTGGGCAGCCGGGAAGTAACAATCGCCCTCACAATCCGAAATGCACACAAAACCTCTCTAATCCTCACTTATCTTTGTCTTCATCTTCATCTCTATTACCTTGCCTTCCTTCCACTGATGCAACTCCTCTACTTGATGGCTCCTCACTTCCTCTTCACTCTGTGTCCACTAAAAACGATGGAAGCCAAAAAACCACCACCGATAGTCTCCTAAAGCCACGCCACCAATTTCATATAGGAGCATTTAATGTTAGGACACTTTGCCAAATAGGACAACAAGCATCACTAGCTAAGACCCTGGCATCCCGAGCCATTGATGTATGTTGTGTTTCAGAAACACGCATACAAGACCCAAGTGTGGTTATTCACCTAACCCCACCTGGCCAACAGGATGAATCTTCAAAATTCACCTTGAGGGTGTCAGGAGATGCCACAGCTAGTTCACGAGGATTAGCTGGCGTAGGGATAGCTTTGAGTACTAGGGCAGAAAAGACATTGCTTGACTGGATCCCAGTAGATAGCCGAATGTGTGCTGTCCGTCTGAACGGATCAGTAAGAAGGAGAAAGGACTGCACTACTCGCCGATGCCTTTTCGTAATCTCCGCCTACGCCCCCACTGACTGCAGTTCGGATGAAACGAAGGATGAGTTCTACCAAAAGCTGTCTAGTTTGGTGAGAAAGGCTAAACGCTCAGATATAGTCGTTCTAGCTGGTGACTTTAACGCTCAAGTAGGGAAATTGTGTCAATCTGAGAAGGATGTCGGTGGCACCTATGGAGTTCCGTGCCAGCGAACCGACAACGGTGACCGTCTCCTACAGTTCTGTTCAGATAATCATTTGTTTCTTGTAAGCACTAACTTTAAACACAAGGAGAGACACTGTTTAACCTGGCGACCCCCATCATCAAACCAACGCTGGACACAAATAGACCACATAGCAATAAGCTATCGTTGGCGTGGGTCGGTAGGAGATTGTCGCTCCTTCTGGAACACGTGTGTAGATACCGATCATGCACTGGTCCGGGCTCGTGTGTGCTTACGACTGAACGGACGTAGGAAACAGCTGGCGGTAAAACCATCACGTCCCCAGCTCGATCAGGAAACTAAATCCCTATTTGAGGAAGAACTAGCTAAACGCATATCTGAATCCGACAGCTGTGCTCACCCTGGAGAAGCCTGGAAGAATATTCAGTCAGCTATAGATACAGCTGTAAAAGCTGTGAATAAGGCAAATCCAAAGGTGAGTAAAAACCACTGGATTTCGACTGCCTCATCCGAACTGATAGATGCTAGAAGACTTATTCCGGCGAGCTCCGAATTCAATGAGGAGCGAAAGCTGCACAAAAGGAAACTTACTAAAAGTCTCCGCAAGGACCGTGAACAGTGGTGGGTGACAAAGGCGAAAGAGATGGAAAAAGCATTGGCGATAGGCAACACTAGGCAACTCTTTAGACTCATCACAGAATCGGGTGGGAGAAGGCAATTCATAAGTGAGACTATTTCTGAGAAAAATGGCTCCTTAATTAGCTCTCAGGATAGACGCCTTGAACGCTGGAAAGAACACTTTGAGGGACAATTTAACTTGCCTACAGCCACACTGAACCTCCCCGCCATCCACACACACCCGAATGGGATATAGACACTGGTCCGCCGTCTGTAAGTGAGGTTACAAAAGCTATCAGTAATTTGAAACGAGGCAAAGCGGCAGGACCCGACGGAATTATTCCGGAGGTGTTTAAATATGGGGGTGACATACTAGTTTGTAGATTAACTGAGGTACTAGGCAAAGTCTGGGAATCAGAGACAGTGCCATCAGACTGGGGTAAGTCACTTATTATACCGATATTCAAGAAGGGAAACAAGTCCTCGTGTGATAATCATAGGGGGATCAGCCTAACGAACATAGTCTCTAAAATCCTAGGCTCAGTAATCATGCATAGACTAAGCAGAACTCGGGAGGAACAGACAAGGGAAAATCAAGCAGGCTTTAGACCAGGTAGAGGGTGCATAGATCATATCTTCACTCTTCGACAGATTCTAGAACATAGACACACTTTTCGGCGTCCAACAATTGTCATATTTCTTGACTTGAAGGCGGCCTTCGACTCCGTGGATCGAAAGGTACTATGGCAATGTCTGACTGTGAAGGGAGTGCCAAGAAAGTACATTGCACTAATCAAGGCACTCTATTCAAACTCACGTAGTCGTGTAAGGGCTTATGGGGAATTGTCATCTGAATTGGTAACAACCAGTGGTGTCCGACAGGGATGTCCACTTTCCCCATTTGTAACCTGAAGGTCCTGGATTTGATCCCTGACAGTGGCGTCATTGGTGCTCACTGATTAAGAGTCCCAAACAAGGACGAGTCACCTGTTCAACGCATCCTACTGGTCTTTAAATGGTTCACCTACTGATATCAATCCATGATCAAACTCAAAAATCAACATACCGAATACTTTATACGTTATGATTAAAGTGAATAATATAGACAGTTCATAAAAAATGGTCGACTAATGTTTTCAACTGGAAAAACAGAGAAAACCGGCCATTCAAAAAAGCGATGATTTGTGATTTGGAGTAACTTGAATGGTTAAGCAACGGTAAAGCTTTGTTTTATGTGAATACTGTCTTTATTTTTATAGATAACTGAAACAGAGGAAGTTGCACATGCTGTATAGGTATACTGACTTAATCACCTGACTTATTTACCTGGAAGTTTGATGTTTACGCATAGAATGTTAGGTAACCAGGGAAAGTCAATCGGTCAGGTTGTGAAGCTACATCTATTCGGATGGTTAGGATACGTGTTACCTGCATGCTAATCCATCGACTTCCTCGATGAGTAATGTTAGCTGACATAGGATCGGGTTAGAGAAATTATATCATTAGTATTGTTCTCTTGGGTTCCGAGTGGAACATATGGCTTCAACAAGACATCTCCGCTTTGTTCTATTTTCTGCTGTTCTCATCAGTTGGGACCACGATTGCATATGATCTTTCATCTCCTTCATCTCACGCTCATAGGACAGTTAGAGGCGGTCAAATCAAAACATGACGTGAGTCCATGAAGTTTTTAACTGTTGGTTTCAGCCAGACACGCAGGCAGATAGATGTAGACTCAGTGGGCTGAAGTCCTTGCGATGCTAAGAACAAATGGTTTGCGACTTGGTTCTTTTGAATCCTATTCTTTTTCCTCTACCTTCTGTGGTATATGAAGCTCAGACAGTCGTCTTAGACTACTAAAAGTAAACAGATTTACTACATTTAAGGCAGGGAGATAACAATGCTTGGGGCGGATGTGCCTTCAAAAAAACCAAAACAGTAAACAGGAGAAGCAACCACTTCACCCAGTCACCTAAGCAACTAACCAGAAATCAAGCGGTTCGAACCGATTCGACCCTTTGACCTGAGTCAAACCGGTTACACCACTGATGAGCTCAGCACTAAACGAGTGAAACAGTTGGTGTGGTGAACACTAATGATTGATGTGTGAGTTGGTAGACAACTACTCATCTCAATCAACTAGAAGTATATAGCTTCAATTCAATGTTACAAACAATGAAATAAACTTCATACAAAGCACTAACCTTTTCTTTAGTAGAAAATCTGCATACTTAGCTAAAAGTTCAGGTGATTTTCTTTGATTACCAGCTAATTCAGTGACAGCATTTCGATTAATAAAACGTTCACAGCCTTTATCTAATGCACGTGAAAATGCTGGATCCCAAGCGAAAGCAGATAATACAAGATTATAGTGTTTTTGATGAACTTTTAATATTGTATCAATGTACAATTTTGGATCCTGAACAAATTAAGAATAACAATAAAATAGTAGAATATAAAAGATTTAATTAAAAATAACTTTCAGAGGTAGCAGCTTTACTTATGTAAATATATATACACCAGAAGTTAACAGTAGCGCGTAATAGCACCCATCAGTCATTTGTCATCTACAGAACACAAAATCACAATATGACTCTGGACAACTGTCTAACGGATATGCATAGGTTGACCATTATTTCTGATATTCGCCAGTGAAACTTAACCCCGCAGTAATTTGGTGACTGATGAGTAGCAGTGGAATCCAGGAAGTGTACTTCATCTTGTTTGGGACTCATCAGCTTTGGTGTGCCTAAATTCCGCAGTGAGCAAAGACGTTCTGACTGAGACTCGAACCCAGTTCCTATCGTTCCAGACACCAAAGTAGTTTCAGCTACCGGGAGAATAGCTTCTCTCATCCTGTTCCAGTCACATGATCCTCCACAACAGAAATAAGAACATGCACCCCATATTCGCGATAATATATACTTAGATTTCAGCCCAATCAATCAACGGGGAAAGTCAAAATTTACTTAAAAGCAAAGCTTAACCCTTAATTAGCCAAACAATAATAATGCACAACTTAGAAGAATGCCTCCAAAAACATGCAATTTTCCAAAATACCATAAATTCATTACATTTCGTCAGTCAGTGTGACCGATACTAATGCTGATCAAATCTAAAAAGGTGGAGTGGCTTTCAAACCAATGACGTAGTGGTTGCTAATCGATTAACAAGACCAATGAGCCATAACGAGACAATTTCATTTCACTTGATATAACTTACTATACTATTGCTGTTTTTATTATCTTAGTGAGACATAAGAATATACCTTTAACTGAATTTTAGATTTTCTCGTCGATTGATTGGACAGAAGTGCTCGGTCTCAGGTTGATATGTCAGTTTCGGTGGGAACATCATCACTCACTGGGGAATACAGGTACATCAAGATGATGAGTCCCAGATACGACGAAGTGTGCATCCTGGATCCCACTGCTAGTCACCCTCCACCAATTAAATAAGAATGTACCTTCTCGATACTTTTAACAATTTCACTTAAGAATTGAAGAAGTGCAGCATAAATTTTAACTGGATACAATATCAGGCAAACGTTTTTGTGAACAAAGTATCGAGTAAGATCTACTACATTATCCAACATTCTGTAACGGATTTCAAGTTAGATCACGGAATTATAAGAGTTAGAGGACAACTAGAAAACAGAGAGTACTGTTTCGTCGTAGTTTGAGATTCCTCATTCGCATGCAAACATGACAGCGCCAGGAATCTGATTAAAGGAACATTAGTGTAGCGTGACCGCACTGTCGACGGGAAAAGTGCTTGAGGCTTGTCACACACACAACCTGTCTGAAGTGAGTTTTGGAGTTGTGCATGTATTAAGATCATGATGCCGGCTACAGACCACCAAAGGTAAGCTGGGATGTACAATTTTTTGGGTCAAACTTGCCTAACCTACCTCCGTGAAATGGAGAGGCAGCATACCTGGCATGTTGGTCATCCGAAAGAAACATCTTACTGCTGATGCATTCATATTCCCCAACATAGTGTACACCAGCTAACACCATGATTGTGACTACTTTTAGTCTAAAGGCTATACTGACAACCTTCCTGGAGGAACAACAGCTCCCGCCAGTGTAGCTCGCTGGATCATTGCGATATGCAAGGCCAGCGGCTGCCACTTCTGTGCAGCAGCTATTGGTAGGTCCATCAAAGATTAATTAATTAATTGCTATTGAAGAATAAGACAGTCATCATATCAATGCTACAAAAAAAAAGGAAGCTGAACAATAAGAACTCACATTTACAGCAGCTTCAGCTACTTGACGAAGAGCTTCCCATCCTTTTTCAGCCACATGATCCTCCATGACAGAAACGAGAACACGTATTCCACTAGGGAAATGACCGACCAGGCGATACATTCGCCATATATCTAAATGAAAAAAGAGACCACAAAATTCACGTTCAATTTAAATGAAGTCTGGTAATAGTTGCCATACTTCTTAGTAAAACATGCGAAATTTACCAATCATTGTGTTAATATATAAATACCAATGAGTGTTAGTATTTGCAACAACTTATTAATTTAAGGATGTTGAGTTGCGGTTCATTAGTTTATATATTAGACTTCCTACCAGTTGGGTCACGAGACTGAAAGCGGTTTAACCCTTTGAGTTCTGGGCAGCCAGATAAGGAACCACTAGCCTCCACATGATAGGTGTGCTTCATCACTAACTCTATGAGAATACGGGAGGTTGTTCAGTGCGTGAAATTAATTAAGGATAAATTTAATCCCCCAATATAGCTTATTAACTAAAAATGTTTTAACATTACTTTGAAGGATACTACTGTACTGAATAATCTGGTGATTATTTGCTTCCAGAAATGGTTACTTTGGGATGAAAAGACTGGTGATTTGGGATCACAATATATTTGACAGTAAACCGTGACCAGTAGGGTACAGCATGTCGAGCGTGAGGACAAAGACATTGGTTAGTGGTCGCGCTATGTCGTGAATTGGCAGAAGTTGGAATTCATGGGTTGGCCATAGGATAAAGTCCCCAGTAGCTAAATAGTCTACGAGCTCGCCTTGTGCCCAGAATGTCCAGGGTTTGAACCCCAGTGGGTGTGTACTGATGAAGAGTTCCATACTGGGATGAAACAGGTGTCCAGTACTCTCAGGCTTTCCAATAGTTCTCTAACCGATGTCAGTTTATGATGAAATTCCGTAATCAACAGTTAAAAGTGTCGTGCGACATCAAGACTGGATTCGAAAACATCTAAGAACCATTACAATAAGTAAGAAGGTATCGTTGGATGTTGCCGATAGAAGTGCTGTATGGTGGTGTCGTATCAAATGTGAATTGAGAATCCTGAATTCATCGAAAAGAATGAAGTTAGAGTTTGTAGCGTAGCCAACACGATCAATGTCACTGACTTCTGTTGACAGAACTCGATAGAATTTCAAGGAACTTTAGGTTAGTGAGACAACACAACACATCTGTTGCTGATGGTTTGAACAGGTGTAAGAAGAATAAATCAAATGTTTAAATGCATCAATGCAAAAGTGTGCACACAGTAATAGGCCAAAGGCTACATTATCATAGCTTTCGTCACAAGCCAACATCAGTAAGCGATCATTGAAATCCAAGGAGCACTTGGTAGCTTTTTCGTCCTATTTCGGAACTCGTTAACAGTGTATACTCAAGACAGCGCCAGAGATAGAAACCGTGACCTTAAGGCTACAAGACGCAGCTTGTTAACCATTTAGTCACTTAGGTTGGAATACAATGACCTGTGAGGCAATTTACATTGAAATTTAACCAAATCCTAATCAAAACTCATAATTTAAATAGCCTCCAGCTCACTGATAGCTACTGTATTGATGTTCGGATGCTGTACTGAGAAGTCATGACCAATGTGGTCCACCATGTCAAGATGAAGTGGATGCTCGTCAAAGGCATTCGTCAGACTAGTGCTATATCACGAATGGACAACGTTAGAATTCACGGATCATTGAATCCCGGCCCCCCAAATGGCTGAATCGTTAGACACCTTGGTTTCGCAACCTGAAGATCTCACGTTTGATCCCGGGTGATGTCATGGATGTGCACTGATGAGGAATTCCAAACTAGGACAAAACATCTGTCCAGTGCCCCTTGGATTTTAATAATCTGTAACTGATGTTGGTTAGTGATGAAGTCTACATTGAAATCCCTACAAAAACCTATATATATATATATATATATATAATAGGTCCCTTCACCTAATTTTCGTGCCTGCTGACACTCGTCAGTAAGGCTTATCTGCAGCCTATAAGGAACTTCTGCGATTCGAACCCACGTCACCCAGTGCTACAGTCACAGACGTTACCACTGACTTTGCAGTGTGACTGACAGAATTCAGTCTGTACCAAACAAAGGACCAGACAGACATTACACTAATTACTAACAAGTGTCCAATCTATGGAATTGGGTTTCTTATAAATTTATTTTGTCAATACACCACCCATGAAGAAAACTAAGTGCATATGGTTCATTTAGAATGATATATAACTCATAAAAGAGTAAGAATAATAATAACTTACCTTCTTCTCTGTCTTCATTGAAAAGATCCGAGAAGACTGATGTTAACCGGTCAATATGTTCACCGATCAGATGATGTTCACAAGATCTCATCAATTTAGGAAGTGTGCTTATATGAAGGTAAGTTTGAACACGAATACGCTCTTCATTTAATCGAGCTTCCACCTAAAGAATGTGATGAGATTATAAAGCAAAAACAGATAACAAAATAGTCATTTTCAAAGTATGAAAAACGCCCATGTGATGTAACGAAGAAAATTAGTCAGAGAATAGAGATCTCTTCTATTCATAACTGCACTTCAAAGCTGTACGGTTAATTTAGGGGTATTTATACACAATGTGAACTGACAACAAAGGTCAAAAGTTCTTGTGGTACATAGGGGGCTTCAGCGGTACATCTCCATATCATCATGTTCTCCGCAATCCTGTTTAGGTGGTTCCACTATTCCCCGTAAGAAGTCATCTCCACCTTACATGATCTCAAGTTGTCATATTTCATTCAGGTTTCACTTGGGGGACTTCCTGACGCAATGCGTGTTGTCACTCAACGGTCTTCTTAACTTAGTGTGTAAGATAAGACAAGGCGTGGACAGTAGTTGATGATATTACGTAATTGAGAGCTGGAAAGAGACAGAGTTGACAACTGACTAGTCAAGTAATGAATAACCATTTGATAATAATTGATAGGAAACATGAGAAAAAGGAGTTGAGAATAAGTTGCAAAATAGAGATAGAAAATGAAAGGATTACATGGAGTTTATTATACAATAATTCAGAAGACTCGATAAAAATTTACTGAACACACAAAGTCCCGGGTTTTTCCCTATGGGTCGTTAAAGCTTCGGCTGCATGAAAAAGATGTAAGCGAAATCTTCTTTTTTAATGGCTTGATCGTACCTTATACATGACTCTGAATGAAATCAATGATGACGCTGTGTGACCAGAATTACTAATGTGCTCCAGAATTGAGCTGTTGACCGTTCTGATTCCTTCTTTCAACAACCGTCGTAGTAAATGTTCATGGGCGCATCCAGATAATATTCTGCTGATACAGCCTATACACTTAACTCCACAGAAGCAAATAAACACGTAAAGTCACGTTCAGGTTGCCCACAGTAGGATCTTTTCTATGACCATTTGGTGAACAACTGCACATACGGAGAAGGTAGGGAATAGAGTGTTTCACAAATTGCTCTTGACAATCAATTTTGGAGAAATTCACCAATCATATCTCCCTTGAAGTTCAGATTTGCCGTAGTAAAAGAGACTGGGTGAAAAGTTTCTGAACATAAAGACCATGGTTTTCCAGCTTGATCGTACTTTATATATATGTATGACTGGACGCTGTCTAGAGACGCTTATATACACTTACTTCCATAGTTGTCAAAAAGGAGATCGCAAAACAGTCAACAACTTAATTCTGGAGTAGATTATCACTTCTGGTCAAGATGCAGCAGCAGCATCATCATCAGAGACTTCATTCAAAATCATATATGAGGTACGACCACCACCACCACGCCGTTTAAAAAGAATTCGCTGACATCTTTTCCATGCAGCTTTAGAAGCTTTAGCGATCCATAAGGAAAACACCAGGACTTTATGTGTTCAGAAACATTTCATCCAGTTTAACGTAAACATAAACGTGCGCAGACCAGAGCGTGATCGGAGTCTACGCACGTAACTATAATACACTACATCGACTTCCTTTATACACTGACTAACATTAAAAACTGCTTTTTTGACAACTCATCACCACCACCTTCTTACTAATCTTCCCCTCTCCTCCCTTATCTAGTTACCATTTGATCACACTCATCCCATTTTTAAAATATTTTGATAACGTAAACAATTACCCTAACTAATTTTTATTACAACTGAACCTTTAGCAATCCATAAAGAAAACACCAGGACAGAAACATTTTATCCAGCATTTTTCACTAGCATGACCCCCCCCCCTAGTTTCAATCTTATTTTTATCTTTTGTAGTCCACTGTCAATCCTTTGTTCTCTAGTTCCCCAACCAATTATATCCAAATAACTAGACATCAGATTTTAACTAATTTAGTTGTCAACCCTCTCTCTCTCTCTCTCGACTTGCCCAAATTTATTCACCATTACTTTGTACACATTGTTATTTCTCATACACTGACTTATTTTGTTCCCAAGATTGACAAAGAATAACACCATTGTTCTTTATTTCGCATTTCACGCTAGACAGATAAACACCCCTAAATAACTCTACATCTTTGAAGTGAAGTACTTTTACGAAAAGATATCTCTTCACTGATTGACTTACGTGTGTTCTTCATTAAAACAAAATATTTTATAAATAATGTACTTAAACAGACAGTCACATATAACAATAAATAAAAACTAATTAACGAAATATTCCCATATTGAGTCATAAGAAAAGGCACAAACAGCGAAGAAAATTTTCTTTTCGACGATTCATTTTCATGAGCTGTACAACCGTAATTATAATTAAAACACATAAGTTTTTGACTAATCAGATACTGGTAAACTTTGTCCTTGAAAATTCTACTACATAGTGTGAGGTGTAAGAATGTAAGTTCACTATTATTATTATTACTGTTCTTAATACTTTTATTATTATTACTATTCCCACCATCCATATTTTATTACTACTCTATGACTGTTTATTAATAACATTGCTTTTTCACACAGATCTTATACAAAACTACTTTATAGCCTTTCCACTAGATCCTGTCCACTCTACACTAGCTTATTGATTAGTCAGTATCTCACACTTATTAGGTCATGCCAACTTCTGTCTCCTTTCTAACTTACACTGTGCGTCGGTGGCACAGTGGTTAGGATCCTGGCCTAGGATGCACATGGTCCGGGGTTCGAGCCCGCGCCGACGCACACCCGATATCTATGGTCGGCCTGCTAATTTTGGACTACCGATATCCACGCTGAAAATTCCATACTTGTACCTAAAATACGGTGTGAAATCAAGCTGTAAATAAAAAATAAAAAAAAAAAAAAAAATAAAATACAATTAGTCATTCCTTCTTACACCTCACACTATGTAGTAGAATTTTCAAGGACAAAGTTTACCAGTATCTGATTGGTCAAAAACTTATGTGTTTAATTATAATTACGATTGTACAGCTCATGAAAATGAATCGTCGAAAAGAAAATTTTCTTCGCTGTTTGTGCCTTTTCTTAAAAAACTAATTATTAGAAAGAGTTAATGTGAATAGGGAAAGTGGATCATTGTACAATGGACTAACTCTCTTATGACTTCCAAGCCTTTGTTTAGAATAGTTTCTTCACAGCTAAGTTATATATACACACACACACACCTATCTATATAATTATTGTCAATCATCATGGGGTAGTTCGTTTATTATTTTGACAACTAATTTTTATCCTAGAAATAAGATGATTTAGAATTTGTCACCAATATCTGCAATTTTACGATGATGAAAGCGAAGATGAAAATTACAACAAAAAAACACGTAGTTCAGAGAAGAGTCTCTGTCAATGCTGGTGAACACTAAATCGTTTGTTTAGTCGAACTGATCTCCATTGGCGCGAGACAAAAAAAGGCTGTCATTGCTTAATTGGATATTGGTTGGCAGAAGATTGGAGAAATACAATCTGTCTGTTTCCGACATAGAACTTTGCACATATATGCGGAAGTTCAAGTCGCCACACTCCACTCCATGTACCACACAAAGCAAGAGAAGAAGGTAGAAGAAATGCATAATAGAAAGACAGTAAACACAGGTGTCAGACAAAGGAATAGTGATAACGACGAACAATATAGTTTCATTGGAAATCATAAGTCATAAGGAGTGGATGCATCTGCGTTAGCCATTGAGAACGATTTTGAGCCATGTCACCAATTGTTTCCAACCATCGCTTTTTACCGTCCTGAGGACCCCAACCAGTCAGTCAGGAAGTCTACACCTTCCTACGTGGCTGGCTTAGACTAACTGTTGTGAATTTCATTGACTGGTGCCATATTTCGCTTTGACCGCCGCTAGCTTTTTTCCAGCCTGACCCTACATCCGCTAACATTGCTCGTCGAGAAAGGCAATGACTAGACATACGTAACACATGTCCTAACCATCTCAGTCGATGTAACTTCACGACTTCATCGATTGATTTCCTCTGTTTACCTAGAACTCGACGCCTAACTTCAATGTTGCTCACCTTATTATGCCACTTTACACGGGAAATGGAGTGCAGGCACCTATGATCAAAGACAGCTAGCCTTTTCATGTCTTCCACTCTCAGTGGCCACGTCTCACAACCATAAAGGAGGACGGAGCGGACTGATGAGCAGTACACCGACCCTTTGGTCGATAGCCTGCTGGCTATCACTTCTACACCGGAGTCGGCGTAAACTGGCAAATGCGACATACGATCAGAAGTATTGTTGTACAATTATATTAGCACAAAACAATTGAGCAAAGAATATCCTTTTCAATAATATTCTCTTCTGGCTATACAATTGTACATCCATATGTTTATATACATAGAATATTCTAGAATAGTAGTTAGTAACAATATTAGTGTTTTTCAAATAATATCGATTTGTAAAGTATGATCACAATGGAATTACAGTTTATTAAAGATGGTTAAATTATAATAAGCATAAAAATATAATAGCAAATAGAATATCAACTAAAATTAGGGAAACTTCCACAAAAATTCAGGATCACTCCAACCTAGATGGTCAAGGTAAAGATAATGTCAGAACTAACTTCTTTTGGATGCACAAATTAGGTTTCTTAATATAGATCCTAACAGAACACAAGATTGATGTCAACCAGACTTTCAGAGTCATCTGCCGCATACCAACAAATCGTAATTTCGCGTTAAGAGTTCGACTATTGAATATTGCTGAGGCTGTTAGGATCCATATCTTTTTCCTTCCTTCACGTTCCCAGTGGAACATAGGGCCTCAAGCTAGCGGTTTGAAGTTTCTGTAGCAGTGTTTATTTTTACAGGATGGGGTTACTAGCCTCATGCCCAACCTTTCCTCTTTACCAGCATTATTTCTGGCTTAGAGAGGTAAAGGAGTGCGTCGGTGGCCGGGGATCGAACCCAGGACCATGTGCATGGTCGGTGAGCGTCCTAACCGCTGTGCCACCGACGCACAAACATTATTACGTAACTATAATACACTTCTTCGACTTCTTTTATACACTGACTAACGTTGAAAACTATGCTTTTTTGACAACTCATCACCACTGCCCTCTTACTAATCTTTGCCCCCTCCATTATCTAGTTACAATTTGATCGCTCATCACATTTTTTAAAATATTTTGATGACGTAAACAATTACCCTAACTAATTTTTATTGTTGTCTGGCAGACCTAATGTACACACACACACAGACATATAATTATATATAATTACGATAGTACAGCTAAATGAATGAATTCGCCGGAAAGAGACTCTTTGCTGAACTACGTCTTTTGTTTTGATTAATGTCTCATTTGGGGTTTATTCATGAACTAGAAAGATGAAAAACAAAAAACAGGCTAAGCTGAGTTTATCAATAATATAGGCGAACTAATCACCATCTTTGCTACATAGGGTTGCATAGGGGATTGTGTACAGTTGCCTTCTGCTTAGAAGTTGAGTGGTTGTCGTATGTTGTCATTTTCTTAGTCGTTGGATTCATTTCAGATGGTCGAATCGTTTTGAATTGACTGTTGCAAAATTATTTCTCACTGAAGAATTTCTATCAGATAGAGGCTTGAATCCCATTATGAGTAAAATTTACTTTGATAAAGTCTCACAGTGTTATACGGTGATATTTACTGACGACCACGTTCTGAGCACAATTTATTGCTTATAGTCATATCAAGTTAAGTTACTCACACAACTTCCTATCTTTGTTTATATAATTCCATTATATTTAATCGCTTGGCTTGATTGCTAGTAGTAGTATTTTCCATATCTCTGGTATGAGTGATGAGTCATTCCTATTGCATATGTTGGGTTGGGTGTAGATTCACTCGATGAACAAAGATTCAGTAATCAACCTCTCTCTCCACCTACTTGTATTACTTTTTAGAATTTTAACCCTCTCATACCATGCTACTGTGTGGTTGTGTTAATGCATGCAGTGCAATTGCTGAGCTTTTTTCTAAATTACGTATCTTTTCGGGGTCAACCATTCTTACCTTAGCTAAATTCTTATGTTACGACAATCTGACTACCCTTGACCTACTAGTTTGACTTATGTAGTTGACCTAACTCACAGTCATTGCAGGGTATTTTGTAAATTATATTATTTTGTCTAATTGGGTCAACTGGGTCTCAGATATCCCCTCCTTATATGGTATAACATTAGATGACTTATATTCTTTCTTATTTATGTTATCACTACTAGTTTCACTATTATTTTTATTTTGCTTTTGGCCTCACTGATCTTCCTAATGAATTTTATGGGGTAATTATTTAACACCGACCAGCCATTCTTCTATCTATTTTATTTCATTATTTGGGTGTTTTTCTTGTACTACTTGGTGCTACTGCTTAACTAAACCAGCTTTACATACAACGAACGGATTAAATGAATTAAAGTCTAAATATCTATTAGAATGCGCTGGCTTAGCTTTTTATAAACACTGGTGTGCAGTTTACCTTCTTCTATTCGTTTTACTTTACAATCTAACATAATGGCTAATTCTCCTTGTTCATTTTCCGATTCAAATGAGAGTTGTATTCCCTTTACTGGTGAAAATATATGTGTCAAGAAGCTAGAGAGAGAGATAGGTTCTGTTTTTAACACTGTGAGTGAAAGTGTCATCCACCATATTTTTGCAGTAGGATTAAATGTTTCAAGAGCCATATTTTCCCGATTGTCCATAAATCTATCTGCTACGATAGGGAATATTACTGATCTATCCTATTGATACACCTGTTTGTCTATACATTTTGCCTTGGAATTTAAAGATAGTAGATGTCAGGCATAACTGAATTCCTAAAATAATTTCTTCGATAAGCAGCTTCGTCCTATGAGTGAGTTCAGGATCTGCAGTTAGTTCTCTTTCAACTGCTTCTAAGGCCATATTTATTGGTATATTTTATTTATTTACTTATTTATTTATTTACACGCATAAAAACTTGGTACCATATGGCACCAAGAAGGAAGCACTACACAATAATAATAAAACAACATATATCAAAAGAAAAAAAGAAAGAAGAGGATATATATATATATATATATATATATATATATATATATATAAGTAGAGAACGGATAAAGAACTTCATCTGGAAGGAAAACAGTCATGCTTAACAAGTCCAAACAGTATTCGTTAACTATCATCGGGAAAGGAAGAAGGGCATTGCAACACGTGTAATAGCACGCGATAAGTTTCATTGATTATTTGTTGCTTCATTTGATTTATTGTGTGAGGGTTGAGATACTGCTCGGGTGCCCAGACCAAAGCAGGTGGTTTTATTAAGAAACTACCCCCGAGCCTTTGACTTGGAGTCTAATCCGGAAGGCAGGGGAGCAGCGTCTGGAGCTGCATTCCCATGGTTTCCGGTGGCCCATATGGATTCATACGCCATTTGATCCGATTGGATTCTGGAGCCCATGTACCCCATGGTAACTGCTTTTAGTTTAACCGCTATCCAAACAACCCTCCTGACATGGTAGGACCTGCAGGGACAGGTCCCAGTCAGTTTAGCATGTTGGGTCATTACGGTATTCAAGCCCGACCACCACGACAAGGTAGCAGTTATCGGCCGGGATTGAATGATTGATATATATTGTGTTCGAAACGTAATCATCAGTAAATATAACTGTATAACACTGTGAGACTTTATCAAAATAAATTTTACCCACAAGTGAATTATACTCTACCATACGGTACAAGTTTTATTCTTATATAGAGCCTTGAACTTTATTTATTGATTCGGTTAAATGAAATGACTCCTATTTACAGTTTAACTTAATTAAAAGTTTCGGGTTGACCACGAAGACTATCGTGTGGGATGATATTTTGATGACCAAGGCTGTCATTCACTTTTGTTATTATTATTGATTTTATTATTGATTCCACCACATCGAGTAGGAGCACAATGATATAACATTATTTACTGATGAAGTTTATCGCTCATAATCAATGAAACTTATAGTCTTCCTGTAGGGTAGGAAGCTTGTCAACAAATACACAACTTTACCAAAATGGAGCAAAATTCATAAATCATCGTATTTTCAACACTCTTAAATACCTATGCGAAATGACATCAGAAGTTGTGTATGTCAGCTGATTATGTCTGTGGGGGGGGGGGGAAGAACTCTACAGAACTATCACGGAAATGGGCCTTGATATGATTATGAGGAATAGATTGTGCTGCAAACAGTTATCAAAACATCAATAATATTGTATCATTGTGTGATTTTATCAAATAAATCTACTCAATTCTGAGATTACACTTTGTACCATAGTGTCCAAGTTCTATTCTTATATCAATATTACTGTTTCCGTCTGAAATCATACTGGAAAGGTTCTTCAAGGAATGTTTCTTATTAGTTTTTAGACTGACTGACTAGTTTCAAAGTAGAACTATGCATGCATGTGCAGCAGTTCCAGCTGCCACACTCCACTTCATGTACCACACAAAGTAAGATAAGATAAGTAAAGAAAGATTCAAAAAAGAGATAATAAACAGAAATATAAGGCAAAAAGAATAGTAATATGGAAGAGCAATAGTTTTATTAGTTACTATAAGTCCAAGCTATTGAGAACGATTTTGAGCCAGATCACTGATTGTCTTCAGCCTTCGTTGGTTTTCACCATCCAGGGGACCCCAACCAGGAAGCCAATCTACACCTCCCTACGTGGCAAATTGCTTAAACTAACTGTTGTGGATTTCACTGACTGATGAAGCCATGTTTTGGTTTCACCACCACTAGCTCCCTCTTTTCTAACCTGATCTATCTTATGTCAGCTAACACTACCCATCGAGGAAGGCGATGTCTAGGCATGTGTTACATATGACCTAACTAACTCAATCGGTGTGACGTTACAACCTCGTCGATTGATTTCCCCCCTTACATAGCATTCGACGCTCACCCTGTTATACCATCTATGATCAAATATAGCTAGTCTGGTTCTTCATGTCTTCCAGTTTCAATGGCCATGTCTCACAGGCAGACACAAAGGAAGACAGACAGAAATGCTGAGCAGTAAACACTTCCTTTGGTCGACAGGCGGATATCACGTCTACACCAGAGATGGCGTAATTTGGTAGGCATATCCCAGACAAGCCTTCTGTACCCGTGGTGAGATTTTGTCAGCGACCAATCCGCTGGCGTTGGCTGATGCAACTTCTCAAATAAACGAACTGGTTAACACACCCCACCAACCATTTCACTCCCTATCTTTTATCTCGCACACAAGTCGCTTATGGATTAGAACACACATGATCTCAAAATCACTATCTGTAAACAAACATCAAGCTTTCGTTTGAATTTTTCGCAGTATTAGTCTAAACATAAATGAATACGTTGTGCTTCTTTAAGTTATGTATATTCTTGTACTAAACATGCAATCGGTAATGTGTCACAACTATATTATGTGAGTTCTAGGAATACTTATTGAGCAATCCAAATATCGATAGGTGGAGCGATGTTAAGCCCCAATGAGCCACAACTCTACGAAGCAGCGAATTCAATGCACTATTTACTTCCAAAACAGATCCACTTTGACCAGTTCTAAATCTTTTCCAACTCGATCTTTTGAATCTGAGAGTAGATATCGCCCTGAAAAACCACATCAATGGAACACCCACCACCAGTATACTAAATGCTCACATTTCCTGAGCAGATCAAAATACTTAGTATTCTGATCTTTCTAAATGTTTTCGGATAAAACATATGCGTGAACATAAAAGTAATACCATAAAACTACTTACTTTTTGAAGATATTCTGGAACAGTGTTCGTCTGTAAAAATTGTGCACTTTCTAATCGATAGTATCGTTCAGTTTCAGACAAAAATGGTCGTTCAAAATATTCTTGATAAACTGATAAATTAGTCCGTATATCAGATGTTAACGTTGATGATGCATTAGGAGTAGCCGAGTTGGATTCATCAACTGCAGCATCACCAGGATGAAGTGGACCACGAAAACTTGACAGAGGTTTACTTGATGTACCCTGGTAATTGGAATCCTACAAATGGAATTATGATTATTACACACATGTAGGTATTAGATATAGAAGGGAAACGATATTAGGGGGAATAGTTAAATACCACTAAGCAAAGCCACAACTCTATTTCTATGTATTAGTGACGGTAGAATATTTAGATAAAGAGGAAAATAAAGCTCCACTGTCGCATCTCATAAAATTCTAATTCTACCATCAATTCTTTATAACACCGTACATGACCAGATTCATTTTCACGTAGTTTTGAATCCATCACTTTGCACTTTTCCAGAGTAATTGATGAAGAAACGCTCTGGGAAGTCGCATGACTAACTGAGTGAGCTTCAGCACAGACCTTTGAACAGGAGTGCAGCAGTTCAAGATGCCACACTCTATGAAACACACAAAGGCGGGGAAAAGAGATTCAAAAAAACTACCATATGCAGAAATGTACGGGATAAAGAAGCCTAATATGGATATGAGATATGACAAAGAGTGAATAGAACTGAGCAAAATTAAACGATTTTCACCTATATCATCAATAGTCTCCAGTCATTGATTCTCAGCATCCCGAAGACCCCAGATAGTCTACACCTCCCTACGAGGCTGCTTAATTCCAACAGTTCAAGGCTTCATTGACTGATGCCAGGCTTTGGTTTGACCACTTTTAACTCTTTTACAACATAATCCTATGTCTGTTAACCGTATTCGTTGAGGAACGTATTGGCTCAGTAGGCGCAACACGAATCTCATGCCAAACATTCGAAGATTGCTGTATGAGCAGTCAATCTTGAGAAATAGAAAATGCTGAAAATTCTACAGTATGTACAGAACAGAAACATCTTTATTACTGTTGTTAGCGCTATTATATTCGTTATTATTATTACTAATTTAACACTTAAATCAGTTACCATCCGCAGACTACTTTGTACGCCCGTTAAGCCTACTACAATAAGTGGGATAACCGCCGCGTTCCCCTAAAGAAGATGACTACTGCTGAACTATATCTACTCAACGTACATATATACGACGTTTCTAAAGAAGACCTGGATTGACACACGGTCCACTGGCTTTCGATGCAACAATTAAAATATGATATGATCCAATGCCTAAAGAATATAAAACAATCACGACACTAAGAAATATAATGAATGATGTTAATATATGTGTAAAACTCAAAGGCTGTAAAAGTATGTAATTTTACATTTATTTATTAGCGATATCACACTCAGTGAAACAGCGCTAGTTGTTGGATAACGAGGTACCGAACGCAATTTGCTGTTTATAATCATATTAATGATGAATGATAACCCATAGTAAGTACAAAGGCTTCCAAACACCTAATTTAACATAAACACATAGGTAGAATGCTTACAAACCACGCACATGGTCTGGGTTCGACTCCCAACCAATGTACTTCTAAAACTCGTTTAACCCATTGTAAGATGAGTAAAAAGAGAGAAGGTTGGGCGCGTGAGGCTAGAGAAACCGCACACTGTAAAAAGTAAATACCACCAATGTTACTGAAATTTCAAAGCTCAAGCTTGAATCCCCGTTTCATTCGGAATGCAAAATAAACAAAAGCAAAGAGGAAGACGCATGCCCTGTTCTTAGCAAAATTTTTATCACATAGATGTAAAATGAATTTCTCGACTTTAATTAGCCCATCAGTAACTTTAATATATTCTTGAGTTTAACGTTTTCTACCAAAGCGAACGGAATATAACGAAAATTCCAATACAAACAACCACTTCTGACATGCCTTAAAAGACGTTTGTTTGCTTGAAGTAAATTGGTGGGTGGTTACCAGCAATGGAATCCACCAGGGTGCGCATTTCATCCTATTTAGGACTCGTAAATTGGATGTGCATGCATTCCCCAGTGAGTCAGTGATAGTGTTCCCATTGAGGCTTGAACCCAGTAACCATAGTTCCAAACGCCAAAGCTTTATCCAATGGACCACTTGAGCCACAATAGACACCCCTAGTGGATAGCGCTTTGGGCGTTTGAAACTATGGGTACTGAGTCCGAGCACCACTGGGTACAACATGACTCACTGGAGAGTGCAGATATATCCAGATGACGAATCCCAAGTAGGATGAAAGGCGTGTCCCGGTGGATTCTACTGCTAGTCACCACCCACCAATTTACTTCAAGTTAATTAATCAGACATCGTCAAAGCATCTGTACAAGGAGTCGATATGTCGAAATGAGGTCGAGCACTTCGGTCTAATCAATCAAGAGGGAAGTTCCAACTGAATTAATAACGCTTGAGTGCTCCTCCCTTTAAAAAAGGCACACAAGTTATTCAAACTTCTACCCCGGATCGTAGTAATCACTCAGAAATGGAATATAGACCATCGATCACTTCTGAACATGATTAATAGTGAAAATGGCATGTCGCCATCCATCTATGTTAGTATTCTCTTAACACAGGATTCACTAGAGTCTGAAGTTAATCCCAATCACGAACAAGAAACTATCAGAATGAAATCATGAGCTTCAACCCTTCTAGTTGCCTTTGAGATAAACCCTGATAAGCATATGATGAAATGAAAACCCCGAGTATTACTTCTGACAGGACAGTAGTGAGAACTTTTTTCAACATAACACCGTGCTAAAAAAATATTTCCTAGCTATTGTGGCAAAACTGAACAAAAACACAAAACACTGAAACAAAACACACGAACTCACGGGTTGATAAACGCCTTGCTACAACACTTATCTGAGCCATATGAAAATATTTAAATTTTCAAGATTCTTGACTACTTTTAAGTGTTCATTTAATTACTTTCACACCCTAAATTTATGAGATAAATTTAACTTCACATACACTTAGGTGACTTAGAACAGTTTATTAACTAATGTAATGTATTATTAAGCATCTACATACCTCACGGATGAGGATGTAAAAGCCAAAATTGGAAACGCGCGACAGACCTTCATTAATCTACTGCAGCCAGAGTTAAGAACAACATTCGGATTATAAACACGAACGTCAAGCCAGTCAGCGCTTCCATATGGTTCAGAGACTGTGTTTCACCAAAATCATTTCGAACAGGTTTCAGACTTCTATCCACAGCTATCTTCGTTAGCTCCATACTCAATATCAGATGACCGGAAGAGATTAGCACCAAATAACTATGAAAAGAAGTGAACCAACTATGAACCTAGTGCCTAACAAAAACGAGTAAAGAATACAGAGATGGACTGGACATCACGCGCTACACAGGGTGTCGAGTGGAACCCGAATAAAAAACGGCAACTTGGGTGTCCAACAGTGACACAGAGGAGATCGTGGGAGGAGATTAACGCTTATGGACAACTGTGGAGCCAACTAAGGAGGAATGCACAGAACAGGATGTGCTGTTGAAGCTCCATTTTCCGCCCAGACCCTACGGGAATAATAATTTATTATAATGAAATCTGACTGAACGAGATAGTAATAAAAGGTTTGAAAATATATTGATATCTGTTGTTCAAATTTACGATATATTTTTAAAAATAAAAAATACTCTACTAAACCCAAAAGATCCCTTCAAAGTGGCATTATGGACAGTTGCCAAGAATTGCATGAATTATGGCATAAAGCATGGGAAAATGTCAGTAAACATCTAATCAAAAGTAAAAAATAAACACTTACCGCCTCAGATTTACATGGTTTTGCGGTAGAACCACTAGGTTTCGGTGGAAAACCAGGAGATTTGAAGGGTTTCATCAAGTATGGCAAGGGTTCACTAGGAGATGAAGCAGGTCCAGCCAATGAAGATGTTGAAAACGATTGCTGATCAGAGGTAATGCCTAACTCGACCAGACATTCAATGATTTTTCTTAGTCGTAATGTCGATAATATTTCTCCACGACGCTCTCGTTCAATCTCGCGAAGAATTGCACTGATTAAAACTCTAGCATGAGGTTTCAATAGATGTTCACGCCATGTCATCAGTGCCAGCTAGAACAGAAAGATTTCAGGAGATTAGATGAATTCTCGAACATTTATCATCTTAGTTGTATTATCACTATTTTTAAAAATTTATTTTGATGCACTTTACGACCTTTTCATTACACCCTATTTGAAGTGTAAATAAAAAATAAAATTAACTTGAACCACTCAGCAACCATCCTAGTTTTTGTTTCTATTTACTGACTAAGTGAGTAGCAACCAGAGAACGCGGGAAGGCATTGTTTGTCTACACGACTAAATGTTGTGCGACATTATAATGACTAAGTAGCTTATATGTCCCTAACATAAGTGTCACCAGAAATGAAGATAATGCAAAAATGCACAGAAAAAATGAATAAAATATTCTGACATAAGTGAGCGATAGCAAATTAACTCTTCCACGTGGATTCCAAGGATTGAATAGAAGTCATCTACAGCAGCCCTGGAGTACAATATCACTCCATATGGTAACAAAAGTTATCCAGCTGAAACTTTAAGTTAGTTTTGGGACCGATGGTTAACAAAACTTTGGTGTACATACAAAATGCCTTATGCGTACCTGATGTCGAACATACATTAAAATGCCTATAAATAAAATAAATTGATTAATAGTGAAACATGTCCTACAACAGAGCTGTAGAAAACGACCATTTAACGAATTAATAGGTATATTGATACCGAACCGATGCTTTGTTTATTGGCAGTGCTTATGTGATGTAATCACTACAAGTCATATAACACCAAGAGACGTGCCAAACAAACATAACAACAACAATGTGAAGAAAATGGAAGTACGATGAATTTTTTAATTTTTGATAATAGCTTGATTCCACACTATATTTTTGGTACAAGTATGGAATTTTCAGCATGTGATATCGGTAGCCCAAATTTTGCAGGCCGACCAATGATATCGAGTGTGCGTCAACAGGGGATCGGACCCCGGACCATCTTCATGGTCGGCGAGAGCCCTAACCGCTGTGCCACCGAAGCACAGAATGAGGGACAGCATCAAAAAAACAAGTATACTTATCTACAACCTTCAAAGGATGGTTCATCACTTCATGTTAGATTGAGAAAGAGAAGAAAGGAGGAAATTACAGCACGTTCTGCATCGATTATGATTCTCGACCATATCTGATAACATCTCGAGTCACTGATTAGAACTATCTCTAGCATGTTTTCTTGACATGACACTTCAACAAATGCTAACCAACTATCCTTTGTCTTAGGGCGTCATATCACGGGCTGACTATCTCTCCACTTTTCTGACCCAGTCCCAGGACCAGCAAATAGGGAACAATGTAGCAGTCACTCGAATGACCTTCATAGTACAAGTTTAAGCCACTGAAGCCGGTGTTACGTGATGACATTTATTAAAGGATGACTTCTGCCGTGTTCAAATACGCCACCGGACCTCAGAACTACTTACATGATGATGCCACCGAATATGAAAGATTCTACGGACGTAGTCACTCACTACATATGCTCAGGTCGAAGAGGCAACATTTCATAGGTGCACAACAAGACCGTGCGCAACAAAGCATTGTAAATCCAACCTTTGATAGCTAGACTGATGTCGTGACGGTACCTGAGGTTGACACCCTGGCTTTCACTATATTGCTAGAGATCTCATCTGTCAGACTCCAAACACACACACAACTACCTGTATACACAAACTCATCGACTACTTCTAACGTAATGTAGATACACCACCCTGTCAACCTTGTAACTATACTTTGCCCATAGGCAGATCGAAGCAATTATCATACTTGCAGACAGTGACTGCCAACTGATTAGATATGATTTAGGTAGCGTGTGAGTTGCTGCACTGTGATGTGATACCATTTGCATACTCGAGTTTAAAGCGTCTCTCTCCAGATAGTCTAACTGACTGACTGTTTTCGAAGTAGAACACTGCACACATGTGAATGAGTTCCAGTCGCCACACTCCACTTCATATAGCACTCAAAGCAAGAAAAGAGAGTAAAGATTCAAAAAGGAGATAATAAAGAGAAATGAGGCAAAAAGAATAGCAATATGGAAAAATAATAGTTTTATTGGATATTATAAATCACAAGGAGTGGATGCATCTGCGTTGGCCACTGCGAACGATTTTGAACCATACCACTGATTGTCTCCAGCAGCCATTGGTTTTTACCAACCTGAGGACTCCAACCAGGAAGTCATTCTACACCTCCCTAGGTGGCAGCTGGCTTAAAAGAACTGCTGTGGATTTCACTGACTGAAGAAGCCATGCCTCTCTCAAACTATAAGATTTTGTGTGGCGCAGCACTTGTTGTCCATAATGTAGCATGTCTGTATTCTAATAACAGTAATATAACATATATATGACATTGTTTCAAATGCCGGTGTTATCAACTAAGCTGCTGAGATAAGAGAGCTGTCTCCTGTGCGACGAGCAAAATGACACAGGAGCTAGGGGTTTAATGAAATCATTAACTTGCCAATGCAGTGTATTTTCTGGTTAGTGTCCAGAAAATGACGGGAATTGACTAAGATGACATTTAACATCTGTAGGAAATCATCACGGATAGGTTCGCACCTAATACTTGGATATCTTCAAGATAATTCACACCTCTTTTCCCTACAGTTTCTAGATACCATGAAATCCTGTTACGCGGATAGGAGTATCGATGCAGGATATATGAATTTATGCTCAAAACCAGGAGTATTAATACGTAGGCTTCTTGTTATAATATTTAAATGCCTTGGCTAACTTAACAGCGTGGTGTATCAATTCACGTTACCTGACATCAGAAAAGGACGTGTAAAGAAGATTGAACAAGCAAGTTGGCAACCCCACAGCTGGCAAAATCTACTGAAACATACCACGTGACCATATTCTTGGATTACTGTTAATTTTGTGGAAAGTGGACCGAATCTTATTCCCAGGTAAATGTATTCCCTTATAATTCACTAACTTTAATGATCATATTGTTTAAGTAGCTTTTACTGCTTAGGATTTTAATTTGATATTTTGCACAATTACTTGATTTTATTGTTAGGTACGCCACAACACCCTCATGGAATGGTAGGGTATAGTGACCAAAATACGAATAACTTTCCCAACTTAATACTGTTCCCGCTAACATACATTAAATAAAGAATGGTTACTCATAAATCTTAATCTAGTACTATTTATTCTCGCACTACCGGGAACGAGTCGATCCCGTTTCGAAGCTGAACTTTAAACATGACACAAAAGTGGAAGTAGTCTTCATTAAATTTAGATATTGAGTACAGCCTGAAATCAGATCATTTGAAAATTTAAAATCCACTATTTTTTAAGGGTCAAAGTAAAGTTCTCATAGACTAAGTACAGACATGTAATGAATTTCAGCCAAGTTAAGCTGTAACACTGTGACTTATCAAAATAAAATCCTATCCATAATGGAGTTAAGCTGTAGAAGCCATCCCGGTACATAACCGATAGTCAATTAAGGCTACAGGTTGCTTTCTGTTCTACACCTGATTAATGGGTTCCACTAAGGCTGAACGTCTGATTACTGTGTGAATATTGGATTAATCGGAGTTAATACATGAGTATATGGGGGAAGCTCGACAGGAAGACTGGTCATTTGAGATGCGTTTTTAGGGAAGATGTCAGCAACAAAATCAGAAACATAAGCGGACCCTTAAACACAGGAGCCTATAGTCACTATTAGCTGTTTTGCCAATTTCATTGCTTGTGAATCCTAGTCAGCTGCTCAAGATCAGTGGTACGGCTGGTCAGAGTGGCAGTCAGTCTCATTTCGCCGAATTTATCGTTGCTTCACACCTAACTGTGCGTGTGGCAAAGTGGTTTAGACACTCGACACAGCCGCAGGTCACAGGTTTGAATCTTTCCGTCCCTCAACCTAAGCAACTGCGAAGTATCATGAGTCTTCACGCAATAATTGTGGCTCAAAAAGTAATACACGAGAACTCTGTTAGAAATAACTGAGTTCTAACAGTGATAAAAACCCTGTTAACTTGCTGATATTATCCTTAAAACTTGAAGTTTCAACAAGAAAACTTATAAGAACTAGATACAAGAAACAGTAAAAACAAAACAACGTACCGTGTACACAACATAAACACTCTTCCGGCCTTCTTCACATTCTCGTTTTACCCAATGTCTATTAAGATAGTTACAGACACCATCCAACACTCTTGATGCGAAACGGAATTCAGTCCATGCTTTTTCAAAATACGATAACGTTTCTTCATCCACAAGATTATTTCCTTTCTACAAAACATAATACGCTAAACCACAGCTTACTAGCTTCAAAGCATGCACATGTGACTTTAAATAATTACGCAGCTTTTTATACAATTCAAAGCCCACTAATTTTCCTCCAGGCTCGGCTTCTATGGCACTTCTACTAGGTGTTGTGTGTGACTTGGGGTCAACAGATGTACAATAATTGTACACATGTGTATGGAGTTCCATATATCTTTTTCTTTTAATTGTCTCCAGGTGAAATATTGCATCGAATCCATTTTTAAGATCATCCCAAACCAACGCTAAATTTCCATCGTGTGAAGACATTTTCAACAAATAAGAAAGTTAGCCAACATTTATACAACAGGATTTTGCCGCCAGAAAACGAACAGCCGCCCAGCCTTACAGTAATTCAATTATTCCTAAACTTTGGGAAGAGAAAAGGAAAATTATATGCCTTGGTAATCTTTCTTGAAGATAGGTTCCCAGTTTGGTTTAATATCCGATAAGCGAGAAGTAGGCGTTAAACAGCTTTGGTCAATGAATATTCGTCTTTGTTATGCTTGTTTGTAAATAATGATGAACTTCACTTTTGAAGGTTGGCATTCACTATATACTTGGTTGAAAAGCAAATTTCAACTCAGAATTATTGTGTGAGTTGCTATTTAAGTGCTCTCTAGCTGCTTTAAAGACAGATTAGCCTGGGTGCGAACGTAATACCTAATATGCTCATGTTCAGTGGTGGATAATAATGTATGTTTTGGGACACTCCATCTTCGATACTAGAAAATATGGTAGTCATAACTTACATGAATCCCTACGAAACGAAGAATAACGGTGAACATAAATCCGTCGTGACAGGACATTCAATTTATTCAGTGTGCACTATAAGAATTCGAGAATCCAGAGATTGATAATTCCTCAAATTTATTCGCCTACAGTATTCATCACAGAATGCTGATCTTCATCGTTTAAGTGGACTTGTTTGCCTGATGGCTCACAGTCAACCATCCACGACACTTATCACGCTATCGTGTTATGTTTGTTCATTCATGTATGACCCCCTGCTAGTGAATCTCAGCATCGCACTACGATTTTGATCCCAAAATTTATGTCGTATTTTGGACGGTCATTTTGGAGTTTTGATTTGCCTTAGATCCACGCAAAACAAATACTATAGCAATTGTTGTTATAAGAAATTGCTTTGATATTTGCCGTTCTTACCGTAAACTTCAGCACATTCCTTCCATCCGTTAAAAAACTAATTGGTAAGAGGTTTTCCGCCTTTTCGATTTCATACTGCTTAGAAGGTTGTTTGGCCCGCACACCTACGTCAGAAGACAGAGGAATCTTACATGGGCACAAGGTGGGTCATGTTTTTTTTACCTCCAAGCAGTCAGTGAGACGGGATTTGCAAAACGTATTCTACGCTTGTAAGCAGACCGTGACTAACGTACTGTGGCGGTAGATAGTCCCTCAAACTTACTTGCCCACAGCCATCATCGTTGAGTATTTGTACTTATTTGTACTCGTTAGGTGACAGTGGGCGTTAAACTAATGACAACGTTTGGCTTACTCCCGCGTTGCGTTCGGCTGTTCGCATTTGCAGTCTAACTAGTCAAGTAGTGGTCACCATTCGTATTATCGAGCTTCAGTTTGTTGTTTTTATTTAACTCAAGAATAATGATCTGGTCTAAATAGCAAACACATGTTTAGCTGTGAACCTGCTGCTCCATATACAGTGTCTTGAGTACTCGTCAATATCCTTCACTTTCCGCAATACTGAAAGTGAACAGATTTGTTTTTGTGAGAAACTTGTTGATAATTATTATCAACCGCTTGATTCAATAAATCTCTTCAATCCATTTGCGTCAATTTTTAAATAATAATAATGATTTATATTTCGTATAAACGGGTAAGTCTACAAGAAATATATGCCATTTTTAAAGGCATGACAATATTTCTATATTTCTCGATGTGTTCCATTGAATGACCAGTTAGCAGATTGTACTCACAAACTAATGTCAGAAAAGATAGCAACCATGTATTCTGACGATATATCAAATTCACATGATGTCGGCCACGTCTTGTAAACCGTCAATGCCCAGCTCTTGCTACGCTGGGACTCACGCTGTTCCTTGAAGTTTCTCAGAAACGCTTACTAATAACGGACGCAAAACCAAAACACTGACTGGCTACTCGAGAATTCTTTATGTAACACCAATATATAATATATTTCTTCCTGTTTATGCAGGAACATACCAATTGTAAAGGCATGGATAAGTTATCATATAAATTACACATAATTTGATGTATGATGAATTTACAGTTTGGTTGTTCTTTCTGACATGAGAGTCAGTCGGAACAGTCTGCTATAAAGTCTGCTTGTGTAGCACATAAAGAGATATAGAAATATTGTCTTCGCATCAAAAAAACCCAGACATCAGATGAATGTAATACGGATATCTGAGAAAAAAAGCTTGAAGTCAATTCTCTTACATAACTTTGTTGTGAACAGCACCCTTGGCTTAAAGATTATTGATGTATTATGTTGAGATCAGTGATATATTTATTCCATTTTTTCAGTAGTCTTATCGCAGTTTTATAACATGAAAGAAATTTGATCGTGGAGGCGAAAACTAGATAAGGTCATGTTAAGTTGTTTGACTGCATCGAATGGTGCCGAGGTAGATTCCAGAATTCTCCATTTGTGTCTGCAAGGCGGACTGTATTCGTAAGTTCAGAAAAATGTTGAAAACTTTAAAATTAAGCTATAACTAAGGCTTCTGACAGTTTTGGCCTGACTTCTTTCTGAACAGCGACCGATGAGACGATGACAGGTGTATCGATGCCTCCGAGAAAATATATGGAAGTTGGATTTGACCAAACAACCATGAATTGATCGTTCAATCTCCAACTCCATTGACACTCCCCGTCAAAAAAGGGATCCAACCCACTTTTTCCATCACGACCAATACACGTTGACTTGGATGCCATTGCGAGAACCTGGGTCACATGGACAGAGCTGAAATGGAAAACAAAGAGAAAAGCCAACACATCACAAGCATACCCACAGCCCAATCTCACACATCAATGACGACCTGCGCCTTCCAGTTAAAGGCATCCTCTTGCGACGCAACCGCCACTTGCTAGAATGACTCTTGCAGAATGCAACGTGACCATAGCACCACCTCACGATACTCTACGCACATCCTCTTATCTACTCACTACCAATTATCACTGAAATCGCTTGTCACTCATTCTGCCTCAGTTCAAGTAGCGGTGACGCATGCGAGCCTCAGTCGTCCACACTCTTTCTCCCCGGCGTGTCTGACCGCAGCTAACAATTATCTCCGTATGCATTTCATTCTCAGCAATAGCCTAGCCTCCCCGGCGTATACGACCCATCTGCTGTCTTTAACATCAATCAATTCATTCACGGATGTAGAAGAGTAGAAACAACTTCAGGAGTAATCACGACGAACAATTTAACAAAATTACGCAATAACAACAAGATACGAAAACAACGAGTAAACACAATGAATCCAAAAACACCAATTGATATGACACACCACACGTATATACAAATAGTACAAACAACCTTGCCGATCATGTCTTGGTGGAATTCCTTTGAAGAATTGCAGGACTTACACCAGTACGCCTACAACCCTTCTCAGGTTGACGATTGTAATTTGTGGAATGTCCGGACACAAACAAGATTAACCAACAATTACAATAATTGGAACTCACACAACTATTTAACACAAACATATGTACAATCACTACATCAAATGTTGTGGATTCCGGCATGACAAACTACCCTTGAAGAACTGTAGGACTTACAGCAGTACGCCTACATTCCTTCTCAGGTTGATGATCCAAGTGGAAGTCGTCCGGACACAAACAGAATTACCAACAGCTAGATGATAAATGATACCAATTCAGTATATACAATATGAACATATGTACAAAATCACACACCAAGCACATTGGACTGCTCATTGATGCGCTACCCTTTGAAGAATTGTAGGACTTACAGCAGTACGCCTACAACCCTTCTCATGTTGACGCCCTAGGTTGGAAAATCGTCGCAGAGTTCATTTGCTGACTTCCCTCTATCAGCTATATCCTCAAATCTGAACGATAACACGCTCATGTCATTGTATCGTAGAATATAGATGACGAACAAACACACGACGTATCTGGTCAACCAAGCGTAGGCACAGAGTAATTTACACCAAAGATAATAGCATTCAATTAGTAACTTGAAACTAGAAATGCCTTTATTCATGTAAGTCAATTTAACAATTAATCTCTCGTTTACACTTGGCTTATCCTCACTAAACTGAGCAATATCTTTCGTCTTTTCAAACGCACCGATACTATCATAGTCATTGTACAAGACACTTGAGTTGATGGGCGTCTGTTTCATTGTGGATGACAACACCGACGACGACTGATTGATACCAGTTGATGAAGTTAGCGGTGGATCAGAAGCTGTTGTTGCTCGGCCTTCAGAAATTTGCCTACCTGCAAGACCACCACCACTGCCATCATTTACTATCAGCTCAGGTTTAGCACTAGCATCTGATGATAGATGGGCTACACGCTGATCAATTACACTGACGGTCTCACAAGTATCCATACCTTCTGCAACTGCATCTGCATTCAATTCTACTTCACGTTGTCGTTGTACAGAACCTTTATTTAACTTAGCAGTAGTAGGCATTCCCCCAATTTTCAAACTCTTTAATAACAGCAGTAGACAATTTTGGTTCCTCCTCACAAATCCTTAAAGGTTCTATGTCTTCACTCTGACTAGTTATACTTTGTAAACTTGTAGGCTCAGAACTGCACTCTGAAGCAATAACTCCCTTCTGTGACACTCTATTCAACAATGGCTTACCAGTTGCAACTACAGACTTCTTGACCGCACCGTTATCGTCACACAACTCGGAGTCAGGCCTGGAGTTTACATTTAGCTTATCACTGAACTTGCTCACTGGTTCACAGTTCACCTTTGTATGCACCTCTTGCAAACGTGTAAAACACAACCGTCTTTGTCTTGCATCTTGCAACTTATCTGTTGAGTATGTACTATGAAACCTGTTACACTCACTAGGTCTATATGCATTACTAGACATCACGGAGCCTTCTTGATATCCACCTCTCTGAGGCCCTTTCGTCATCAATGATTGCGTTTTACCCTCAGACTGCTCTATTCTAGGGGTGAGATTCAATATACTGGCAAACGTCCTCATAGATTGATTGACGATATCATTTACTAGTTTCAGGATATCATCAAATTTTGGCTCGATACCCTCATCCTCCATACGGGAGCTTATCTTCACCCACTTCCTTTGAAGTCGAGTAGGTAGGCGTCTTGCTATTACTTCTAGTATAAAACTCGAGTTGAGGTCACTCATGCAAATCATCGAAAACATTCCATTCTTGTAAATAAGCAAATAATCTAAAAACTCAGTGAGTGCCTGGGAGTCATCTTGTAATTGACCACCATTACCCTTAACAGCCCCGAATAATTT